TAAACTACAATATATTCATATTGTGCGTACCGAGATGAATTCAATGAGTTAAATGTTAGTTTAATAAAAGTTCGTAGTTCCATTTAAAAATTTAAATGGTAAGTTTGAAATCCTTGCGCCTAATAAATAACAAATCTATCTCAGCTTAGTTCACTATCGTTTTTCTCATATGAAACAAAGCAAATTTCTGCATAAACAATAATGTATCTTTAGTAACCTAAGAATTAATTGAATATACGCGTTCAAACATGCACTGTATAATTGTTTACTACGAAAATACAAAAGTATTTACAATTTAATAAATAAATCGCCACTTGGAGTATCCACGGGTCATAGGTCCTGTGCTTTTAAATCACAGCGCCTCACACGTGTAGCCGATTAAAAAAATCTAATTTTTTTGAAATTTGAAACGCTGACTTAAAGAAAAACCTTGTTTCTCGCCAAGCAATCATATTTTCGTCTATTTACTTTGTGTGTCACATAATATAAAAGCCAATTTCAATTTTATGTTGTTCCACTTAATTTATAACACTATGTTTCTCCATTTTTTCATTTTTAAGCGAGATCAAGATTCATATCTCCCCAATTTAATTTGTTACAGTCCCTTTGAACTTTGTAGTTTTTATAACTATCACTAAAAACAAGAAATATCTGCATTGATATTTCAAGGTCGATATCTTAAAGCAGCAAACAATCAATTGGTAATAATACCATTACTGATACACGATAATTAGTATCCATTACTGATACACGATAAGAACTAACATTCAGCGTTTCATTTTCCAAAGAAGCTATTTCGTTTCGCCCTAGCTTGGCTCAAAACAATGAGTCCTCCCTCACACCACTCCACAGAGTAAGAAAAAATCTTAAAGAGAAAAATCGCTCTTTACTTTGGTCTAAGAATCCCTGCGGTCCTCTTCCTCCTTCTTTGTTTCAATGCCTTGTTCTTGGTTTGTCTCAACTGCTGTCTGTTCCGAATCCTCCTCCTTTTCACTGGGAATCACTTCCATTGTTACTTCATCTTTTACTTCTTCGGCTTTTACAACAACCTCCTCTTCTTTAACAAGTTCTTCTTTTTCGTCAGCTGCAACGGAAACTGGTTCTTGCTCCTTGGAATCCTCCGTTTCTTCCCCAGATGGACTCACGTTAGCCCACCTAGATTTGCGTCCCCTATTGTTTCGATTGTCCCTTTCTATGTTTTGGTTGTTTGGATGTTTACCAGCTTTCTTGTCTCTGGTATTGTCTCTTTGCGAGTGATTTTCAGCGTCAGGTGGCCACGAACCAGGAGGATGTTCCTGATTCCTCCATGGGGCAGCAGATTCTGGAGGAAGAATCGAAGGAGGACCCATAGGGCCGAATGGAGGCCTTACGTGAGGGCGAATGTCATCGAAAGGAGGTCTGAAAAAGGCATCCGGCTCACGAGGATCAAATGGTGGCCCACGAGGACCGAAAGGCCTCATGCCAGGGCGAAGAGGACGAGGCCCTAACCCCCGTGGATGGAACATTAAAGGTCCTGGAAAAAAGATGTTCATTAAGATTTTTTTCATCGATTGAATTATACATTCTAAGTAGTACAACCTTAAAATTAAACAGATACCTAAATATCTTCTCTTTTAAAAATTTGATTTTTACTTAGAAAAAGCTTTACAACCTTATCATGTAATTTTATAGAACAGAAAACTTGTTACTAAGGTGCGAAGTTACTTCTGAATTTAAAAAATGTTGAAAATATTACATAATCTCAAATCACTATATACAGATATTCTCAATTACAGAAATTATTCTTACCAGGGCCACGGGCACCAAGTGGAGCTGGACGAGGTCCAAACCCATCTGGATGTCCAGGTCTAGGACCTCTAGGTCCCATAATAGGCGGCATTCCAAACATGGGTTCAATACCAAAGAATTCTCGTCGCCTCGGTTCAAAATCGCCGCGATCTAGATGTCCTCTTGGATCAAAACCGTCCTGAAGCCGTGGATCAAATCCATCTCGTCTAATTTCAAAGTCAAACCGATCCCGATCGTCGAGCGGTCTTCTTCCTCGTACTTCAGACCTATCGAATTCCTCCCTTTGCCAAAAAAGTATAATCAATTACTAATATGCTTAAATTTATTTACATTAATTACTTAAAAACAAAATACTCAATACTGAATCGATATCCACCATTATTCATCAGACTTTGTAATATATCTTTTATATCAATATTATGTTGCAACTAATGGGTCGTTTTTCTCCATGAAGTAGAAAATTAAAATTGCAGAGTGAACTGTCGCAAATTCTTTCTTAGAAAAAGAATCAATTAAGGTACGGATACCTTTGAAATTATACTAAAAAGATACCATTGTAATTATACTATGAACCTACCTCTGTTCTCTAGGGGGTCCAAGTCTTCCGAATTCTTCTATTCTTTGCTGTCCGTGTATCCTATTATCGAATTCTTCTTGGAACATACCAGCCTGTATTCTTGGGGCGTCCATAAACTCTTCATGCATTTGAGATCCTCTAGGCCCCCTTCCAAAATTTTGTCTGTCTCTTTGTTGCTGAAACTCTCTTGGATCCTGAGGATTTCGGAAATCTGGAGGTCGAGCAGGAAAATCACTTCTTTCTTGAGGCAAGCCAAATTTCGGTAAATCCATTAAGGACGAAAGAGGTTCGCCGCGTGCAGTTCGAGCGTCATCAAAAGTCCTATCAGATCTGTCTCGATCCTGGCGAGTACGAGCTGGTATTCGGTCACCCCGATCTTCTAATGGAAGTGTACCGTCAGCCAACTGACGAAGACGATCAGCTAAACTCGGTTTACCATCTTTTTTCGGAGTAGAATCATTTTCCTGTAAGCAAATTTTTGGTTAATAATGAAAATAGAACTCGTTACTATAACATAATATTTTCAATCGATAAATTCACACCTGAAGGCTTTGATTTTGTGGATTTCCTTCGCGATTTTCTCTGTTTTCCCTCTCCCTTCTGTCATCCCTATCCCTATCTCTGATATCTCTTCTACGATCACGTCCCCGATCTCTTCCTCTACCCCGTTCCCTTCCACGATCCATTCTAGAATCATTGTTGTCCCTATCTCTATGAGACAAATGTGTTTCTCTATCTCTTCTCTCTCTGTTTTCACGTTCCCTGTCCCTTTCTTTGTAATCCCGATGTTGCTAAATTTAAATTGCATTCATATAATTTACTTCGTAATTGTAAATAATATATTATGTCTTAATTGTCAATTTAAAACCTACTTGGAATTAAGTATATCGGACAAATTCAAAATAAATAAATAAAAAGAAACAAAAATAACGTTTACCTCCGATTGTTGATCACCGTCTGGTCTATCCTCGTTTTGTGACAATTGTTGATCAGTTAAATTTCCCTTATTCTTAGCTCCGTTTGAACTTGGAGGCATCGCATCTTCCATTTCTACATCCATATCATCCGCAGAATGTTGTTGCTGAGGTAGTTGCATTTGTAAAGGAGCAGAAGGTCCTACACCGTAAGGTTGGCGTAACATTGGCAGATTTGGCATTCCCGTTTCTGTCGTTGGCGGCGGGACTCCAATTGGAGGAACATTATGTGGCATACCTAAAGATTATTATAAAATTTACTTATTTACCGTGCCTTCTTCTTTTACTATTTTGAATTTAATTACGACATTACTTTTTTTACTCGTACATACCAGTAGAATTGGGTTTATCAGAGGGTGCGGCAGGTGCGGGCAAAGGAATTTGCGTCAATAATCCAACACCCACGCCAGCTCCGAACGGAGAATTAACCTGGGGTGTGAGCATAGTTTGCATCATTCCTGGTGGCCCTAACAGACTTTGCATATTTGGAGGCGGCACACCTATTGGAACATTAGGCATCAAACTATGCGCCATTGGTAATCCCATTGGTCCAATCATACCTAAGCAATAAAATAATAATGTAATATTTTCACTAACTATTAACCCTTTGCCCAACAAAATTATAAAATTTTGTATGACGCATTAATACATGGAACATTGAAATAAAATGGTACCGACCCTTAATTTATGTCAGATATATCTTTATGTTAGTTACAAAAAGTATCATTGATACTTCATAAAAAAAAATAATAAATATTTGTTAAAAAAATATATTCGAGTGCAAAGGATTAAAAAGTGGAATATTCGTAAAATAAAGAATTAATTACGAGGAACTCCTGGCATTGTGAAAGCAGGTGGCATCATCTGTAACTGCGTATTCGGTGGAGGCAGAAGTGCAGCTGATGTGGGTGGTCTAATCGGCGGTGGTTGACTCGTATCAATCACTTGCTGCTGTTGTTGACCCTGCTGTTGGGTCTGTTGAGATTGTTGCTGTTGTGTGCTAGATGTAGGTTGCATCACATTCACAATGCCATCAGCTAAACTTGGCATTGTGGCGGCTGCAACCAAAGCTTGCTGCTGTAATTGCAACTGTTGCTGAAGCATGTCTGCATTTGTTCCGGAATGCTTTAGTTTACCTGTGAATTATATTAAATGAAAATGAATCATTCAATTTATAAGTAACTTGATTTACCTTTCAAGTTAGGCGGCAAAGTATCTTCATCAATCATTCCACCTTCTTCGAGTAATTCTAAATCCTGGTCAGTGACATTAATTAACTTATTCCAAGGGATATAACTAACTCCCAATTCGACTTCCCAATAATCTTTCCATTCTTTTCCTTTAACACCTTTCCCAGGTGCCCAGGCTAACTAAAATGCATAGAAACTATTATTCTAAACATGCGTTTTCCTCACAAAATTTTAAAGTATCAATCGTAAGTTACATAGCTTACAGTAATCGCTTTTCCCTGCATTTTGTGATTTTTAAGCTTGGTAAGAGCTCTGTAGGCATCTTGTCTTCTATTCATACATATAAAAGCGCAACCCCTAGGTGAAATTAGATCTATACTGACAATATCACCAAATTCTCCAAAAGTGTCTGAAAGTTCTTCTTGGTGTACTAATTTAGACAGATGTCCTACCCACAAAGTTGTACTGCAAACTGTAAGAAAATCAAGTTTTTAATGTGAAAACAATATACAGTAGCAGCTTGAATAAATAACAATAATTATTTGTTATTATTGTGATCAGAAATATAGTCAATAATTATTATAATAATATGAAAACTACCGCTTAGTTTATCTCTCACAATTGGTGGCAGGCCTCGTTTGCGTCTTTCTCTTTCTTTTTCTCGTTCTTCCTCGGTCATTTTTTCTCGACTATCATCACGTTTTCTATCCCGTCCTCTATCTCTCGAACGAGACCTACAATGTAATATTCCATAATAAATTAAAAAATTCAAATAAATTATGAAATCAAATTCGATATATTGATTACCTCCTTCTTCTGGATCTACTTCTCGATCGAGATTTTCTATCTCTGTCTCGATCTCTATCCCTATCCCTATCCCTATCCCTATCCCTATCTCTATCTCTATCCCTATGCCGTGGTGATCTAGATCGACTATGATGCCTATATCGGTCAGGTGATCTACTCTGTGATCGTGTACTATCACAATTTACAATTTCTACGCTGCTACTATCTCGTCTTGCACCATTTCTGCAATTTATAAATTATCAAATATTAATTTCACACGAAAATCAAATTAATTGCAAGTCAGAATGAAGGGACGTATTAAGCATTTACCCAGAATAATCTTGTGTATCTTGTCGCTCGTCAAGAAGCGGACTTTTTTGATTTTGATGACCCTGTTGGTTAATCTGCCTGATGTTTGATAAAGGTTGCGAGACATAGGGTAGAGCCGGAGGATAACCAGGAGGTGGTTGACTCATGTCTTGTATAACTCCGCTACTTACATTTGCTGTATATGCGTTTTGTTGATTTGGTTTCAAGATGTCCGACGGTTTTAATTCACATTCCGATGCAAATGGTAGATTCTGAAAAAAAAATCGTGATACATCGTTTAAACAAATATAAAATTTTATTTTTCACATTAACAACTTACAGGAACAGTTTGAGCCAAATGTTTATCGAACTCCTCCTCCTGCTGCTTCATCTGTTGTAATTTCCTCATCTTTTCTTCCATCTCATGTTGTGATGATGATACATTCCCTTGCATTGTCTGTTGCAATGTTTGAAGCTGTCTCAAAACCTATTACAATTTAAACAATCAACTTATTTTGTTACAGTAAAAATAAGAATTTGTTTAATATCTTAAATAACATGTAAAATCTGTTCTCGAAATTTTTTTTTAATATATACCTCTGGATTTGTTAGGAGGAATCCAAGACTTTCCAAACTATTTCCTGTAGGAACGTTATGTTGGCCAGCATTTGACGCTGTTGTTGCCACTGGTGAATTCGCAACTACAACGTCATCATCTTCTTCTTCACCGTAATCAAAATCCAGGAGCTTCTTATCAAATTTCACAGAAGTTTTTTGTTCATTTGCTGCTTCTTGTTTTTTGAGCAACAACTGTTGCAAATGTTGCAGCTGATCAAGAAAAGAAGCATCCATTTGACCTGAATTAGACTGACCCTAAAAAAGAAAGTGAAATTAATAGTGTAATAAAATACTATAATAAAATTTCAGAAAAAAGAATGATAAAAATCATACCAATAGTTTATTGGCATTAACTATATTTGCTGTCTCCATTTTTGTTTGTGCAAGCCAAACAGGATCAATAGTCTTTGTAGAAGAAAATAACTTCTGATCCTTTACTGCATTCTTTGCAGCTAAAGGGGGTGTTTTAACAGCAGTACCAGTATTGCTTGTGTTATTCGTCGAAGAAGTGTTCAATGTACCTGTAATGTAATAACAATAAACTCAGTATTATTTTACATTTTAACAACCTTAAATTTTCATTTTTCTGATATTATTAAATTATGAAAAGTAAAATTCATTTACCATTTGCATTAACTGCTTGCTCTTTATGGATTGGATGATTTGGATCCGCAAGATCGAATAAAGGTTGTATAACCTCGGATGGAAAAACTGCATTTTTCTGCCAAAGATTTAAAACTCTAATCACTTTGCTTTTATCTTCTTGAGGACATTTTAAAAGGTTCAAGAAGGTGGTTTGCATATTCTTAGCAAAGCGAGGAGCAAATACATCTTTCTCTACCCCAAACTGATGTCTCGACTGACGCACAATTGAATCTATAACGTATAATCCGGGCACTTTGTACTCTGGCTTACACTGAAACGTACAAGCAATAATTAAGCAATCACTCTATACATAAAAATATAAGAACATAAACCTTTAAATAATATACTTATACATACCTTTTGAATGAATTTTTCAACACTTTGCACAACATGCTTATAGAATTTGATTGCCTTAATTGCGCCCCTGGTTAAAGAGTTCATCTTGGCCTTAGAAATCGGCGGTTTGACATCATAAAGAGCTGAAAGCTAGAACATAAGAAAAATATTAATCTCTTGTGAAAATTAATTCTTTATAATACACATTAAAATCATAAACATCCACTAAAAATAACAAAAAATTACAAAAAGATTACAACACGAATTTCAACCACAATCCTACAGAACTAATTGAATTCGAACACAAATTTCATAATTTACTTTTTATATTTCATCTGATCATGTGCCTGTACATTTATATTTACAATAAAATAAAAAAAACATGACAATCTTTGTACCCGAAATTTAAACACTTAGTCTACAACGGTAAACATAAATGTTAATTTATTAACCATAAAATTCTTTACAACCCTTTTACTTATCTACCTTATCCCTCCCCTAGTTATTGTCTTCCTTTAAACACACAAATGCAGACAGACAGACAGACATATTTGTTTCTTCCCACCATCTTACCAACAACATAAATCTCGATTAATAACAATATCCATCGAATCGTGTACCACAAAAACACTCTAAATCACAATAAAGGTTCTTGTTCACTACTCTCCCTCTTGCCTGCGCGTATAGAGATAGTTTCTCCCCCTCTCTTGCACAGAGAGACTAGAAATCAAAGCATTCGTCGAGCACAGAATCACTCGGATCCTTATATCACGATCACTCGAAAACGTCAAGAGAAGCATTTCTTCTAGGACCCTGTCTCACATACGTGTTGCTTACGACTTGGAAATAAGAAGATCGTAAAGGGAAAAGGGAAGAGAAGAAACGAGAGAAACAAGAAGAAAGAGGGATAGTCGGCGGGCTAGAAGAAGAATCGAGGGTAAGAATGAGCTCACCTCCGCGTTAAATGCCTTAACCGCTTCCATTTCGGTGAAGGTGCGAAGCACCAAAGATCTGCTATGATTCACAGGAATCCGTGATTCTCGGGACGTTCAATGTTTTCGCGATAAATCGCATGTCTTTGCTCAGGGCGCACTGTCTAGCTGGGCCATGCCACTCAAGATGGCGACGCTATTTCCCGAAAGGCATCGCGGGGCGGTGATGCGTGACGTCACGTACCGCCGCGGTGCGCAATCGGTAACAAGTTTTGCTTTAATACCGATTATCCTTTACCAATTAAAAACTGACAAGATAAATTTATTATATGAATTTTGATTTAAATTTTACACCTGTGGCGTGTGTATAGATATATATCTATATACGTATATATAGATTACCGAGAGAATTAATAATATTTTATAATTTATTATTATAAAATTATAAAAGCATTTATTTCAACTCAATGTAATAGTATTTATAGGTTAATTTTAATTCAAACTTATACATATTACAATTAATACTTTCCTAATTTAGTTTCATATCATGATCAAATAGTGATTTCTTATTATTATATATTTTATCCATAAATTACATTTGTATACCTAATTATATGCTTATTGATAGGGAACCAAAAATTAGAAAACAGAAGTGCCAACTTTAGCTCGTTAACTAAACCTCGAATATAATTGTTATAAACTTCAATTTAAATTTGTGTATAAATTTCTTTTATATACGTATCTATAAGCAGCTTTAGTGATTTTATTAAAATTAAAATTGAGTTTATAAAGTTTTAAATATTGACATGAATAAAACTATACATGAATTATAATTTCATCATTTTGTTGCACTGACTTGCAAATTTTAAACTTGTACATTTAAAACGGAGCAAGGTTTCTAAATGAATATTTATTTTGTTTAAACGTTATCTTGAAAATATTAATTTGCGGTATAAGGTTGTATAAATCAATTTAATATATATAATAAATAAAATACTTGTTTATTACTTATTTTACAGAAATGATTAAACTACTAGAAGAAATTAATCTTGAAGATTATACCTTAATACTTCCATCAGTGGCAGTTGGAAATGTTGGACAATTATCTATTGATCTATTAATTTCAACTTTAAATCTATACAAAATTGGGTCCATGTGGAGTTCGATATTTCTTCCAATCTGTGGTTATGATCCTTATAATAAAAATACCAATTCTCTATGTACTGCTGCTGATTTTTATCTTGGAACTACTCACAAGATAGTTCTTCTACAACTACGGTCTCCTCATGTTGGTAATTCAACTGATTTTTTCAAAGAACTTGCAGAATTCATTCAACAAAAAAAAATTAGCAAGGTATGTAATATTTTAATAAATATACAATTGTTTGTTCAATTATATTTCTTATGCTAATAATAAGTTTATTTTCTAGATAATCATTTTAACCAGTAGTTATGATTATGAACGATCAGAGAGATCGGATTCAAGTTTAAGATATCTTACCACTGATGACTCATTAATGAATAACAAAACGCTTCTTGAGTCTCTTAAATGGAAAAGATATACAAGGAAAACTTTAATGGAACCTACAGAAAACTTTCATATTCCTGGGGGTGGATTTGCAAATGGATTGTACAATTATCTGAAATCCGTGGATATTCCTTGTACAGTACTTTTCTGTTATTGTTCTGAAGGGGATAATATTTCTGATGCATTAACATTGGTTAAAGGCTTGAATCAGTGGTTAAATATATTAGAAACTACTTCTAACATTGATATCAATGTTAGGTATCCACCATCTTGGGAATATCTTTTTGGTAATCCACCTGCATCAGAACTATATTAAATTTTTCATTTAATCATTGCCTATAATTAATGAAATTCTGATCGTACCGAAATTAACTATAAGTAAAAATTGACACTGTGTAAAAACGAAATATTGGAGGACAGTAAATTAAATATTTAATTAACAATGCGTTATTAATAAATTACAAAATTACATTTAAAAACAAAAATGCCTAAGTAACAATAAAACATAATAATGTGTCTATAGTATTGTTTGTATTAATAAATTCATAGATTTAATTTTTACAATAATTTATTTAAAAAATTAATTATATAAAAAAAGTGTTTAAGCTAATAGCTTGAACTTAGCAGAAAATGCAGAATAAGTGACTAAGGCTGCTAATAGAGCAGCAAGGAGTTCAGAATTGACCCACGGTCCGAGATAAATTCCTGGATTATTAAGTACAACCACTACTAAAGGTTTTACAGTACTGGGATCCTCTCCATTTCTAATAGCTTTACGTATAGCTGCATATCTTTCTTCATCGTATAAGTTTATTCTGTAATCCCCAGAACGTGCCTTTTTCACGTCTTCTGTCCAAGAAACCTATGAAATTCAATATTATTGTATTATTATAATGGAAGCAACAATTCTGTGTATATATATAATTTATATTTACAGCAATCTTCAATTTAGTTTGCTGTAATAATATAAATTTTAATTTTAATGTTCATACCTGATACTTGTTATCAGAGCTTAACCTAGCTGCTGGCAAAGATTTTCCTTCAACTTCTGCATACAACGTGATACCTTTGACACCATTGCTACACTTAAGCACAAATTGTGTTGTAAATGCAACGTTTGTTAAAATTGTTGCATCTTCTGTGACATACGCAGAGGCAACAACTTCGGGTTTTTGGCAAGTTTCACCAAAAATTCCGGAAATTGCACAAATTAATAAAATAAAAGTAACTGCGAATCGATTCATTTTTCTGGTATGTCACTTTTAATTGTTAAATTGTCTAATGCACTAAAAAATAAATTGTAATATTAACTTTCAACTCGTGGAACACTACGACCGATAGCTCAAATCATGTTAGGTTAAGAAATGATTACAATTGATTCGTGGCGGTTTGTCTGAGGTCGCGTGGCTTGCGTGGTTACACGTGGTAAATATTGGAAACAGTGGTACCAATATTTCATCATAAACATTGAATTTTTTTTTTCATTTAAAATAAATTTTCGAAAAATAAAATTTCCTCAAAATATTAAATGTATTAAGAAATAAAATTTTAGTTAGAAATTTTGTGAAAAGTTTCAAATTTAGAAGTACATATCTTGAATCTGTTCAGGGCTGTCGAATTGCCTCCCCTCAAACTAGTGACTTTCGATCAGTGGTTCTTCTATTATCTCTACTGTAAGATCTGCCTGAGTTCTCATTTTCAACTACCAATCATCCACCATGCCACTTCTTCTGATATTTCAATACAAATAGAAGCTTTTATACATATGTATTTGTAGTGGTAATTAACCTTATTGTATGGAGAGGGTAACTCTCGCTGAACGGACCGTGAGGGGAAAAAACCTCCGTGTCATAAGTGATACAATTCAATTAATTTAGTTTAAATTGTTTCTAATATATGAATATGGGGTTGTATGAAATATTCGATACTAATATTATTTTATCAAATCGTTATGCCCAAGATTGTGTAAAGATTTCACACACAAAGAATACAATGTTAAATTTTAAATAGTCGTATTATAAAAAAGAATATTTTAAACAATGGATTACATAATATGTAAAAATTCAATTGTAAAATAAATTAAAATGTTAATAAAGGTATCTAATAAATTCATTTACAATATTACTTAAAAAAATAGGTTTTATTCATCAGAATATTACAAACATGTATCATCGGTTTATATAAATAGATTAGCTATTAGTATTACATTAATGTACAATTATTATAGATTATCATAAATCATTATAAAGAGTATTTGGTATTTGAATACTTAATAAATTTGTATACAGATAAAGTGCAAGCAATAATTGCAATTGCATTGTTCACATTCTCTGATACAAATTGCTTTAAAGGTACAATTACTGTTTTCTTACTGTTTGTATCATATTAGATTGTATACAATGCATTTTAAAAATGATACTATATTATAATGATTTTTTGGTTCGTTGGGAATTTAATAAAATTTATTTTAGAGATATATAAAATTTTCATTATGCTAATAATGAATGATAATATACAATTTCACATCTCTGATATAAATTGTGTAAATTATATATTACCTATAATAAATAAATGTTTAAATTTACTACAGTTTCTTGCAATGATTATCACATTACATTGCAATCCTATATATTTTTAGAGAGTTTTTATATAACTGAATAAGTTTCAGTTTCAGCATATAATCAAAGACTAATTGCATATAATTATATAACTTAAAATTCAATTAAATTTACTTCTTTTGTTACAGTACTTATTGCTGCTGATGTTACAACTGAAGTTGTAAAGGAACGTACATGAGATCGAAAAGTCGATGCTGACTCCCATGCTTCATCTCTAATGATACCTTCATTTCGTGGATACATTAGTAAAGGATCCTTTCCTGTCTTTTTAGATAATATTTCTTTAAGCAATATCAAACGGGATCTCCAATATTCATAACTGGCTTGTTTCAAAGCATTTACCCATTGTTCTACTTGGGATTCTGAACGTCCACTCAATATATGCCTTTTATCATGTTCATCACGAAATGCTATACTAAATGCAAATACTCCTTCCGATGCGCTGTCAACGTTAATATTATAATTTTCTAAAACAATTACACCAGCTGGTTGTCTTCTGTCAATTTGTCCTAATTCGTTGATATTAAAATAAAATAGTAAGTTGCATCTTAACTTAAACCATTTCTCTTTAAAACCTAAAAAAAAAGACAACATCCAAGTTGGAATAAATTATTAATAAAATTTTTAATAATTATAGGTTATATATGAATATCAAATTTACTCGAATAAGTTTTTGAGTAATCAACTAAACTAACCTGACTTGTGTGCTCGTTTATGAGTTAAACGTCCTTCCAGATCAGCGGGGCCACTACTTGCTTCCGCAAGCTCTTTTTCATTAAATTTCATAATGATAAAAAATTATTTACACTTCAAAGCATTCCTGCGTAATACAAATGCTATCGTACAATCATAATATCTATATAATTCATATTGTTCATCGTGTCCACTTTATTCGTTAAAAAGTTTGGCTACAATCCTTGAAACTCACTGCCAATAGTGAACACGGAATTGCAACATTCCGTACTTTATTTTTCATTCTTTACCTTTTATCGACTTTGTCGGTTTCTTCAGATTTGAATTAAAAAGGATTTTCAATAAACATGTTCGGTATATTATTATTTACGATCACACGACTGACAAGATGAACGCTGGTGCGTAACTGAAATATCAATTGTAAAGTTTGCAGAGAATACAGTGAAATTTTGAAAGAGCGCGTTTTACTGTAACAGTCTGTGAAACATACGCATTTATTAAACTTTCAAGAAATGTATTATAATTACTAATTAATATTTATACAAAATATTAACTTTTTATTGCACAAATTATTATGAAAGAAGTATATGTTATTATTATTTCTATCAAATTAATCACTTAAGATACAAAAATAACGATAATATGTTCATATAAATAAGATTGGTCAGCCTGCAAAACAGATATACATTATATTTCATACTGTTCATGTATATAAAGCTTGCAAGTGTCAATTTAGACAAATTGTCAAAATTTACTCGCATTGTAGAATCTTTGTTTACTAATGGATGGTTTACTTCGATACCTATTATTTACGAATTTATCTGAAAAAAGATCACATGATTAATTTATATGCAGTAGTTAAGATCACTTCGTAGTGACGATTTACAATTATTTTTAATATAATTAAGTGATGGGATCGCTAACAAGTCGACAGAATGCTGGCGTAGAGGAAGTTGATATCGTTTCAAATCATGCATACAAATATCCTCCTCGTTCTGGTTTGTATGGATTCATAAATATCATTTAACATTAAACATGATAAAATAATGTTTTAAAATATGTATAAAATATTAAAGTATAAATAATTTATAGTTTAATGAATTAATAAGTTAATATTATATTATTAGTTGTTCAGGTACACGTTTTATTTAACATATTTTACTTATTAGGAAGCTACTTTGGTAGCCATTTCATTATGGGTGGCGAAAGATTTGATACACCTCAACCAGAAGCATATCTTTTTGGAGAAAATGCTGATTTGAATTTTCTAGGAAGCCGACCTACACCTGTAAGATATCAATATTGGATTATTATATTAGATTGTATAGGAAATAATATTTAAAAGTATCATTTTTATTGTAGTTTCCTTATCCTCCGCCACAAGCAAATGATCCCACTAAAACATTAAAAAGTTTAGTGAATATAAGAAGGGAATCATTGAGATTAGTTCGTAATGTTAATCAAACTTCAGCTTCACCACAGTGTCATAGTTTAAAACATTATGGTGACGGTGATACTGATAAAAAACCAAATCGTTACAATATTGAATTCACATTTGACTGCGATGTCAGATGTGCAATTACGCTATATTATTTTTGCACTGAAGAGGTCACAACAAAGGGAGTTACGTACGTATTTCACGTTATAATAAAATATTAATATTTAAAAGCCTTTCTATAAAACTATATATATATATATGTATATATATATATATTTATGTACACAGTTACATACCAAGAGATCCTTCAATGACTTCTGAAACATACTATTATAAGAAAGGTGCAAATCAATTATTTTCAAAAACATCACATATGTTTGATCCATTAGCATACAGTGAAGAGGATTTGTTGTATAATGCTGATAGGGAAGTATGTTCCTTCAGAATATCTTTGTGCCATATTTTTTAATCTGTTAAATTACTGTTTAATAATAAATGTAATTATCTGCAGATAATACCAATAGCGATCCATTGTGTGGCAGAAGAAGGTTCAGATGAACCAAAACAATCTCACACAACAATCGCAGTAGTTGAAAAACATTCGGATGGAACATATGTTTTAAAGGCACTTAAGCAAAAACTTTATGTTGATGGTCTTTGTTATTTGCTTCAAGAAATATATGGTATTGAGAATAAAAATGCTGAAAATGCTAAGGTGTATCATATACATTCATAGCCATATTTGTATTACATTTAATTATTACTATTTAGCTAATGTCAATTTATTTTGTAGCAACAAGGTACTGACGAAGATACGGATGATAACGGATCGGAATGTGTTATTTGTATGTGCGATGTGCGAGATACATTAATATTACCATGTAGACATCTATGTTTATGCAATGGGTGCGCTGATTCTCTTCGATATCAAGCTAACAATTGTCCAATATGTCGTGCTCCTTTTAGAGCCCTTCTTCAAATTAAAGCTCTACAGAAGGCAACTGGAGCTATCATATCAAATCCTCCATTACCAGAGGTCAATATTTTTATACACAAATAATTGATAATTATTATTCAACTGACGAAATGTTAAATATGTAGGGAAGTTGTGAAAATATTCCATCCGGATATGAAGCTGTATCATTGATAGAAGCTTTGAATGGGCCATACATTCCAAGAACTGCTGTCCTTGCTCCAGAATCTCCAGATAAACCTGACACAGATACAGCTAGTGCAATTCAAGCAGCTGAAGCATTGAATAGGTAAGGAACTTCATGAATTATATATATTTTCTTTGAAAATTTAGTTATGATATATTAAATATTTTATTTAATAGATCCGTTGAACGTACCCCAGTTTTGAAACATGCATCCTCAAAAGAAGTTGACACATCTGCTAGGTCAAGTGGTACTGCATGTCCTACTCCAGAATTTCGAATGTCAGTTTTATTAGCTAGAGACGAACATTCAGGATCTCAGAAAGATCTTCATACTCGATCTCCAGCAACGAGAGTAAAATCTTCTGGTCATATACGTGAAAAGTCTTTAAGATCCCAAGATACTCTTAGACTTGTTAATGAGAAACAACCCGTTTCTCTTTATGAGGTAATTTGATGGGATTTTTAACTAATAGCTAAAAAATAATTTTTATAAGATTGCCTTTTTAATAAAATATTTAAAATATCAACTTACACTATATAATCTGAATAAATATTCATAGGGACAAGGGCAAGATGAAGATAGCGAAGCAGAAAAATTGTCTCCTTTGCTAGATGCAGCAACTAGTACGGAAGCACTTGATACTCATAGTCATAGAATCTGTGACATAGATATTGATGACGAGATTCAAAATACGGAAAATGACAATGACACTGATATTACATGCCATTCTCATTAAAAAAAAAATATTAAAATTGTATAAACATTCAATCACATTTGCTTTAAAATGTATATTTAATTCAATTCTTTTTGTAATATATAATTGCTTATGTTTCCTTAAAATTATAATTTTAAATTGTAAATAATACATTATTACTTATAAAGTGGATAAGATTGGAACTTATTTTTTTTTAATGCAAACAAGTAATAAAAATTAATATTTATTATATTAAGCATAGAATTATTGTTTTCTACACACATTTTTTTTCAATCTCAAACTTCACGATGTTTATGTTAAATAAGTCAAAATATGAGAATTTAATCCAGCTTGAAGTGGAGCTGCTCCAAAAATCTTGACAAGTCCTTATGTTCTTTAGTCATTTGTAGAGTGCTCTAATTAATTTTTTATATCTCTGAAAGTCAAGAAAACTCCAGAAATGGAATATAAACTAAATAAATTTTAATTATTTAAATAACTATTATTTTTTATATTTGATTCTAAATTTTACCAACTCGTTAAAACTTCAATAAAATGTATTACTTATATTAGGAAACATATCATAAAAAAAACTTTAATAATCTCTTATATAATTAAAAATTTGAAGATATTTAGAATAATTTAAGAAAATGAACACTTAGCTCCTTACTATACATCTAACTTAAACTTTTTATCTAATGATAAGCTGTAATATCTACAGAAAAATTTTTAAACGTTATCATAAAATAATTGTAAGAATCAACAAAAATAATACAATGTGAAGGTATAAGAATTGTGAAATAAAATTAATAACACATACATATTCATTTATAATTTCTTTAATGAAATCGAAGTCCAAAAGATTATTTTTTGTTTAAGCAGTAGAAAGAATTTTTGTGAATTTCTTCCATTCATCAAGAGGACCATGTTCAGGTAAATACTTGACATTGCAACCATCAGGAGCTAGGCGGCCAGATGACTTTAGTGCTTCGTATTCGTCACGATCATATTTTGTAAAACCCCATTTCTTTGAAACATAAATTTTCTGACGACCAGGGAACTTGAATTTGGCACGACGTAGTGCTTCAACAACAGCAGCCTTATGACGATCTGACGAGCGTACACTCATTATAGGTTGTCCAATATGTACTCTAGCTACAGTACCTTGTGGTTTACCAAAAGCTCCTCTCATTCCAGTTTGGAGTCTTAAAAAGAGAAAAAAATCAATTTTATCAAAACCAATTTCAATGAAGGTATAATAAGTATTTAATTTTCTATGTTTTCTTAAACTATTATGGAGAAAATATATATTTTAGTTCTTTTAATGATTTACGTACCTATCAGCTCCAGCACATGATAACATTTTATTGATGCGAATAACATGGAATGGATGAAGTCTCATACGAATATGAAATTGATCTTTTCCAGCATTTTTCACCATGTATTTGTTCGCACAGATACGTCCTGCTTCAAGTGCTTCTGAACTAAGCTGTTCATATTCATCAGACACCAAGTGCACACATAATGGAAAATCTTCTACAGATGCTTTCTTTTTCCCAAGATCAAAAATACGAATTTTTGGGTCAGGCACACCACGACAGAATCTTGATTTTGGGTAGGGCTTATTTTTACAATATCGGTAACTATAAAAAAAAATTAATATTTCACAATCATGAGTAATACGAAGAAATCACATGATCATTCCTAACCTAACATATCATCCATAAAAGATTATGTTAAAACACCGTATATAATATTAAATAACAAAAAATTATTAAATACTTCGATCTATTATCTTTAATTAATGTTTTAATAACATATATAGTAAATATGTTTTATTACATACCACCTAGCTGGTCGGCGCCCCATGTTGGCTGTCAATATTAAACAAAAAATATTAGTAAAATAATTATAGAATACTTATAGAACTGTATTTCATAAAGCAGAACAATATAAAATCGTCGGATGCTTAATATATTTCAAGATATTTTTGGATTTAAATGATCGTACAAAGATACCACCTTTCAGGGCTGAACGATGTTAAACAAGAAAGAAAATAATGCCGTGAACTCAGTCACGAGTTACAGTTGTGAAGTTTACTGCGTCTAGAATATTACTAGCTAAGACAATTTTTAATTCAAAGCTGTCGAATTGCCTCCTCTCAAACTAGTGACTTTCGACTAGCGGTTATGCAACTTTAGCGACTCTTCAAACTGAGAGGGAAAACAGCCTCTATGGCTCAGGAGCCAGAAACCGCTAATTTCCATAAGTTTGTTTTAACTAGAGGTATATCAAGAAAATCATGAATGAAATTTAAATAATGAAGATGATTTATTACTAATAGTAACATTGGACAATATTTAACGTTATATTAACAAGTAGTATGAACATTATAAGCATATTTAAACTATCAATAATATGTTACCAAGTATCTATCATTTGAATACAGTCTTATAAAAGATCACAATGGAATCTGCGGAGTTGTCAGAAGAAGTCCCTCTTCGCGGGCAATTTACAGTTGACGATTTAGAAATTGAAATATTGCCACTTATATACGAAATAATTCGAAGGTTTGTATATTTAATAAATTTAGAACTGGTATGTTTATGGAATTTTGATATATCTCTAAAGTATTTATTAAAAAAGCATGGTACTACATAACCTACATTTATTAAAAAAACATGGTACTACATAACCTACATTTTTGTAAACTTTTTCTAATTTATTTCGATAACTTCGTTTCCCTTACGTATATATTTTATATCTTTTTCATTTTGGAAATAATATAATTTCATTTTATGCAGTATCATTTTCTGTTAAATCATAACATCATATAATATCTAAAATTCAGATTTTAATGATTGTACAGATTTTTAAATTAAACTCAATCACTAGTTTTATTGTTTTTCTTTTACATAAATCTGTTTAATATAAATGTTTTAATTTATTTTATAAATTGCGAACAAGAATAACTGAAGTATTGTAACTAAATAAATAAAAAAAAATTTTAAACTTTAAGAATCATATTGTGCAATAAATTTTTACTTTACTATATTTGTAATTTATATTTAGCGTTGAAAAAGATCCACATGACACTACACAGAAAGCCAAAGAATCTCAAGATACAAGTCACAAGATATTAGAGTTTCAAAAAAAGTTAGATTCTGCAAGAGCACAGGTAAAATATATTGTGTTTTTTAATAGGATGTAATGTCATATTTGATGCAAGTTGCAGATAACAAGGATATATACAATTAAAGATAATAAAAATATGTAAAATATATGTAACATATAATTTAACCTTATTTATTTGTGCTATGCAACATTTAGATAATAGATTATAATATATCTTTCAGATTAAAAGATTGCCAGGAATAGAATACAGTAAAGAAGAACAATTGCAGAAGTTAGAAACTCTTCGCAAGCAGCTCAGACTTAAACGAGAGCTTTTATTAAAGTATCGTAATATGTGTACATTTGAAGTTCCGAAAGTGTAAACATTTATTTATTTACAGATACAAAGAAGACAAATTATATCACTATGGGTTTTCTTCGAGCTTTGTATTCATATATTATGAATAATGAACGTCTAATCAATAGATTGGCAGAATCAAAGCCAATAAGAAGAGCTGCACAGTATGTAGTATATATATTAAGCAAAACGGGTACATTGCAATCAAGACCTCGTATTACTAATTCTAAGGAATTTATTGAACAAATGAAAAATATAGCTCAAGCATTCAAAGATGACATTAGTAAAAAGAAAGATGATATTAAAAAGAAACCAAAATGATTTTAATATAAATGTTTGAACAAAAAATAGGTTTGTAATTAGTGCATTCCAAATAGTAGGATGCCCTAATAAATGAATAATGAATAATGTATTCATTTTTGCAATAAATATAAAAAATTGAATTTTAAATTTGCTTCTTTAATTAAAATATTGATAGCAGAATCAATGTTCACCAAAATCCCATATACTTAAAATAATTTTCATAATGAATCAGAAATTAAGTAGTCAAGATTTTTCATAACAATTGTTCCCTTGGTCTTTTCACATTATACAGATCCAACAAAATCCAATTAATTTAATATGTCATTGACAGAAGTAACTCAAATGACAAATTTAAAAACATCAAATATAAACATGACTTTTTATGAAACTTTTATTATTTTATATTTTAAATACAGTATAGGTATAATATGCATGATATACATATATTATATATAACACACAAGCTTATACTGTACAAATCAGAAGTAAATTATAAAAGAATGTTAATAATGGCTAATAAAATTAGTGGTACATTTCTAAATTATACTTAAAATAAATGTCTTATGTCACAAAGAAAGAACATCTGAATATGTTTTTCATATTCCAGAAAACTGTAACGAATATAATACAGATAGTCAGCATACATGTTTTTAAAGGAAACAAATACTTATATTTATTTGTACAGATTATATTTACTTCATTATTATTTTCAGATACATTGATGCTTATAAAAATAAAACACTTTATAAATAACAATGTATATTTTCTTCGTATGTTTTTAAAAAACACTTCATATGATTTAATTTCAATAATTTAGTCAAGATATGAAAGACAATTTGTACTCTAATAGGGTTCAAAGCACGGTGTGCGTTATACGTATTAATTCAGGGGTTCTTTCTATGTCATAGAAGAAAGATATTTTTGAAGAATATAAGTGACCCCTATTGCAGTTTTATACACAATATAAATAAATATTAAAATAATGCACATATTTATATAAACAGGATGTTTTAAAATTCTTGGTATTAAATAAAAATTGATATTGCTTGATATTATCCATAAGGTTTGGTCCTATTTCAAATTTTTAATTGAAATAAATTAAACCCAAAACAAAATATAAAAATACGATTCTTATCATTTCACGAAGATTTTAAAACAACCTGTATATGTGGAGTGTGTGTGTATGTACATGTATATCAATTTTGTACATAAACGTCGTTTATACTTTAGTGGGAGGATTCTGTTCTGATAGAGGTTGAATAATACTGTTCGCAGTATTATGAGGTCGTCCTCCTCTTCGCCCTCTATTTTTTTTATTCTGACTCACGCCAGATTTTTGTAACAAATTTTCTTGTTTCGATAATTGCCCTTCAAATGAAGAACTCGTTGCTGTTCCATCCAATGGCTAACAACAGAAAATAAATGTATATTTTTTTATTTTAAAAATATAATGTACCTTTTTCGTTGTAATGTATTAATGACATACTTGCATCACGAAGGAAGAGCCTTGACGATTTTGAGACTTATTTGGTTTATTAGACCTACTTATCTGCGTAGCGATAGTATTTGAATATGGAATAAGTTTTAAAACATTGCCAACTGCTTTTGTACGCCCCTCTCTGAATACCATTCTTTGTCCCGGTTTTATGTATTCGGGATGTTTTATAAATCTAAAGCGTACTAAAGCTTTATCACCAGTTCTTAGACAATCTTGTGACATCGAAATTATAGATGCCGTTTGCCTTATACTTCCACAGTGCACTAAAAATTATTTTATATACAAATGAATATAGGAGGAAATAAAAAAAAAGTGAAACCTAGAAAAGGAAAATAAAAGTTACCCATCGCTTGATAACAGGAACTGATTGTTGTCGGATGATGTAATACAAGAATTTCTCCTTCGAATTCCCAGCAAGCTTGAGGATTCAATGCTGGTGCTACCATTACCATACCCTTTCGAATTTGTGATCTTTTAATTTTTTTTAATGCGAAACTTGCAGTTTGACCACCTCTCACCTCACGAACAGGCATTCTCTTTCTGTGAATACTCTTTACAGCAATTGGAATGAAACGACCCAGAGGATCAGGTCCCAATAATAATGTGTCATTTAATTTTATGACACCTTTTAAAGTTGTACCAGAAACCACAGTGCCAACACCCTAAAATAAATATTAAAATGAAAATATAAATGTCTCTGTAAGTCTTGTACTAATAAGTAAGTAGTGTAACACTTACTGGTACCGAATATGTGTCATCTATTTGAAACTCTGCAGGTTCATCATCATGACTAGTTATTCTCGCAGTTAATAAATTTAAAAACATTTTAAGAAGATTTAAATTTTCTCCTGTTACGTTCGATACTTGAAAAATAGGGCACAACCTAAACAAATGCATTGATAATTAATATTTTTCATATCATAGGTAAAATAATATAAAAGTAAAAGCTTACCGTTCTGATACAAAATTAGTGGCGCTCACAACGACATCATCAGATGTTTTCACAGTAACTGGTACCTTTCTACAGCCTGGTGATTTCAAAATTCTTATTAATAATCTTAAATTTTCTTGTAATATATTTGGTGGGCACATATCAATTTTAGTAACCACAACAAATACTGGTACTGACAATGCTAACGCTAATCCTAAGTGTTCTTTTGTCATCCCGACAATACCAGCATTTGCCCCAACCATTAACATACCTAAAATATATTTAAAAGATTTGTATGTGAAACAAATAAATATAAAGATGTTTGTATCATAAAACGATTAAATATTTTGTTTACCAAAATCGGGCGCATGCCCCGTCATTCCAAAAACAGTTGTTTTCAAATACCTTTCATGTCCAGCAAGATCAATAAATGTAATAACCTTAGAAGATTTTTCACATATTTTTACCCAATCTAATGATCCATGTTCCGGTTTATTTACAACATTACCTAAGAATAACATATTACATGTGCATTTAATTATCCGAGAAATACGAGAATGTTAAATACGTAAAATACACGAATATCATACCAACACTATCAAATCCAAGAATGTCATTTCCAACTGAACTAGTTCGTCCTGTTTCAGCCTCGTGTTTATGACGAAATAATTTTTGACGAGCCAAACCTCTACCATTATCAAGTTCCCCATGTGTTAGTACACCCAAAAGTGTTGATTTTCCGGCATCTACGTTACCAACAACAGCCACCCTAAGATTAAACTCAGTTAAATTAATTCTTTTGATAAATTACTTAAAAATAAATTCTATGGTTGGTCTCATTGTTGCAATACATTTTAGAGTGAAGTATTTCACATAATGTTATCTATCAATTTTTAAAAGTTATTCCTTTAAATATAATGGTAGTTTATTACAGAACCAACCAGAGGGATATCTTGTTAATTATATTACTTTAAAAAGTAGAAACCTAATTTCTAAGAAATCCTGTCTATCTAAACGTCTTCGTACTAGATATTGTCCTACAAGGCCTTGGTCTACTTTACTCTGACGCAAAAGCACACAGTCTGCTTCTAATGTAGCGGCAAGAGATTGCAGGGTGGCAACCGATGCTTCATATTCATCTTCTTTTAAGCCATCCTCAGAACCATCTAAAATTAAATTGTCATTTAAATTATTATTGTGTTTATAACTACATTTAGGTTAGAAAACTTTCTTAAAAATTATATATGTATACACAAACAAATTTATAGATGTATACAAACCTTCACCAATACCAATATCAAAAATTGTTTCACTGCCTCCATCTTGAATTCTCTCTTTCAAGCGCCTAAGTAACAATTCATACTGATTTTCTGATGGGCTAACTAAGACACTCTAGAATTCATGAATTAATGTCATTATCAAGCATTAAGTAATAAGTTAAAATTGATAAAAATTAATATAAAACTATACCTTTCCTCTTATATTAGAATAATCTACATTAGATATAAGTACATGATCTTTCTCATGTAACTGTTTCATATTTGATGTTATAACAGTTCCACTTTCTGCCATAATTTAAAATTATATGTATTTTAATAGTTCAATAAGTTTCTTCTATTAATCCTATACTATTATTTACGCATAAGTTCAAATTGTTTATAGACACATTAGTGTCATAAACATTTTCCAATATTTGAATCCAAATCTTCTTCTACAGATTTCTAGTATTAACATATGCATAGCGTCATGTAATAATTTTAATGTTAGTATATATTAACTTAAGAAAAGTTTATTCCATAGAAGTACTTTATATCTTTCTGCCAGAATTCTGAAATGAAAGCAAAAAAAAATTACATTATGTTCACTAATATAAATAAATATTTTATTGTTCAATGAATAAAACTGTGAACATTTTTAACCTATTTATGAAATACATTTTGAGTATATATGTGTGTACTTAAGAATAAAAAACGTTAATAAATCTTTGGCCGTAACAGTAAGATATAAAATGACTCTTATTTCGGATAAAATAAAGTATCAATATGATTCTTCTAAGAAAATACTTCTTTTTAATACGATAAAATATTTGAGTTTGTAATACATTGCATCGAGAACTTTTTGTTTATTCTTAGGGAAATATGTTGCTAACATACTGTGAAACCAAGTTATCACACACATAAACTTCAAGTATAAGAGTAAATTGACAATATGAAAGTATGTCTAGACAAGAACGAGTCGTTTCGTTTACCTGCTACAATAATTTCACATTAAAAACTATTTGCGTAATCACAGAGCAAAACTTCGCGTGACAGAAAAGAGTGCTACGCTTACGAAAAATCTGTCAACGATTGCGCGATCTCATTCCATCCGAAATAAAGAGCTATAGTAATTATTGTGAGTGTGTAGGAAGATGTGAACTATCGACACAAACTTACAATTCGTACAGACGTCTCATGCAATAGGATTCTCTGCCTATGGTTCTAAGTTACCGACATAATCTTCTCTATTTCTAACAGACCTCACCAGCGTCGAAAAACAGGATAGACTGGACATCTTATGGTACTTCGTGTCCGGTAGTCAGAAATACCGATTGTGTAAAAAAAGCAAATGCTTTCATATGCCCTCTGCGATTTAACGTGGCAAGTTTAAGAATTACATTGAGATCGATGATTAAAGTTGGCAAAATCAACAAGTGTAAAGATACATACAAGGTATAGGATAGACATTGCCAAACTTATAGCACTCGGTGTCATATGTTCTGAATTACCGACTGTAAAAAATCGGATTTTGCTCTGCCCTCTATGCCTAGAAAACAGTGAATAGGAAAACAACATCAAGCAAAATGATCGAAATTGACCAAGTAATAAATATGGTGAACCAAGATATAAATGTTACAAACTTAAGGTATGTACAGATTGTGCGTACAATGTATTTTTCTGTCTACTGTTCTGAAATACCGATACCGTAAAAATGCCCAGATGCACTAGCGGACTCTACCTGAATCTAACGATCAACTACTAAACTATATAAGACTGTACATGGAAAGTGTGTGCTTTGGAAAGCCAATTTTGACAATGTTGTCTGCTCTAAAAATTACATTCGTGTAGAATTTGTAGAGTTAGATTTATTTACTAATTTATAAATAAATATTACTTGATTTTACATGAACATAATACTTAAATATTCAATGAAAAAAATAAGAATTGGTAAACATGATGCAATCTTCGTTTGTTTAGTTCGTTTTATCTAATCACTACATTTTTCCGTAGAATATTCTTTTATAGTCATATAATTAATGTATTAAACGCAATAAGATGTATACATGTACATAAAAAATCCTATGTCACCTATATTTAAATGCAAATGTGTGTCCTGCGTCATGTTCAAACCATGCCCGTTAATGTAAATTAAATAAAAACACGAATGAAAAAAGAAAAGAAATAAAGATAGTAAATTATTGTGCATACGTAATATAAATGCATATTATAAAATTGATCTCTTTTCATTCTGTTAAACTGCCCTTCTGAAAATATTAAATATAGGGCATATACATATGAACTATACACTCTTACTGAATCTCAAAGAAGCTGCGTTATATAGTAAGTTAATTATCTGATTTATAGCGCGTTTAGACTTGTTTTTATCAGAAAAATAGTTCTCATCATTTTGTGATCTTTCCGATTCTATGTCGTCAATGATAAAAGAATTTTGTTCAATTAGAAAATCTGAATTAGTTCTGATTCAGTTAGTACTAATACCCCCGAGAGCGTGTGACAAAATTTTACATTGCATGTTATGTCTATCCTATACCTCGTCTGTGCTGTTACAGTCCAACGTGAGGGAATGCCCCGAGTAGCTTCCAGCCGCGCACACTTTTTGAGAGTTAATCATAGAGTGTTAATCTACCCAGGCGATCGGGTTACTATCAGCAAAGCGATCGTTACAAATCGAACGATCTCAAGTTTCGTTCTCGTTGTCCTGCCATAACGATGGCAACCGAGTGTGCACGTTTAATTACCTTCTGCCATATCAGAGTAAATCGGCAGCGAGCTGGTTTTTATAGAGTAGAAAGTTAAGGCGTATTATTTCAGTCATAGTTTCACGAATTCGATGACGTTGTTGACGATGCGACGAAGAAGTCTACTTTACCGACTGACCCTTTGTGACCCTTCGCCCGGGAAATTCGTGCACCTTGACCCTGCTACGTTCTTTCGATTCATTCGAACCAATCGCTTTTTCATTTTGTTTAAGATACGTGCGTCTACATTTTTCAAATAATACTTTCAATGTATAAATAAACCGAGAGTGCAGCAAAATTATAGAATAAAGAATTCAACATAAAATGTTGAATAAAGTCTTAACACATAAAACGTAGAAATAAAACGATTCTGCCCCATAATTTATGCAAGATGTTTCTTTATGTAAGTTGCAAATAATATTGTTAATATTTCGTCAGAAAATAATGAATGTTTGCGATGAAAAATATCGTTGAGTGCAAAGGGTTAAGGTAGCTAGTCCACAGGCTGTCATCAGCCCGAGTGTGCACGTATACGTAGATATTTATAAGTCGGTGTTGGGAAAGCAACGCACGCGTCGACGTATCAGCGTGATCTCGCCCTTCCAGACACATGGCTGACGGAAAGAAATTACACAACAAATCATTCCCGGTAGTGACTTCGCCGCGATAACATTGTAAGTGCCGGCTTGTCTGCAACCACCTGCGAACATGGCCAACGATAACACCGGGCCGACAATGAACGGAGGAAAAGGCATGGAACAGCTCAGGAACCACAGTTACGAACAGCTGACCATCGAGAACGTGCAGGATGGCCGCGTGCTGGTCCTCTATACCGGTGGCACGATCGGCATGGTCAGGAATGAGGATGGAGGTACCTTCAAGTCCCTTCTGCTCTACGTTGTTCAAAATAACAGCCCTGGGACAGCTTCTAGTTTATAGTTTTGATTGGTTATTTGTAATCGTGTTGGCGAATAGTAAATTGGCATCGTAAATGAGACGAGACAGGTAAAACCTGACCAATCAGGCCCGCATTCCTCTGTTTAGCCAGCAAGTGGTTTCCTAATAGTACTGTTAGATGACTTGATGTCTAGCAGGATGGCACAGGGGCAAGGGAGATCTTTGGCTATGCATTTTGTGCATAGTTTCGATTGGTTACGTGTGACCATATTAATTAACACGTTCGCTACCAGCGTCACATATTTGTGACGGCCGCAATCCTATATTTTATATAAAGAAAATGAAATTAATCCTATATATATAGTTAGTTAATGTTATAAACTACGAAATTACATTTAGGGATCCGATGATTTAGCTTCATTTGTTTCGATAGTTTGTTTAGAAGAATTATTGAATTGAATAAAATATTATAATTGAGGAGACCGTCACCGAGATAACTGGTAGCGAACGTGTTAATACCAGATTGGTACCGAAACTGAGATGTACAGACGAAACCAATTAGTCTCGCATTCCCTTCAAGGTTCTTCTCCAGAGGAACTAGTAAATATTGCAAGTTACTGGTAAAATGTTTCGGTTGGAATAGAAGGTGCTTGTTCATAACGTGCTGTTCGCCGAAACGATCACGTACACTAATTCGAGCGCGTGACGGTGAGAGTGAACACGGTTCACAGCACTTGCCCCTATGACGTGCCGCGAACCTTTTTTCTAGCAACACATTGTAGGTAATCAGCCAACTAGCGAAGAGGGGAGAAATCCTCAATAGCTCACGAGCTATCAGCTAGACACCCTCCTATTGTTGTTTTAGAATATGTTTATAGCACAGGTGCGATACTGCGATTTAGAATTAATTAGCGTCCTGATCCACACACGGCCTTCTTAACTACTACCGCAGCTCTGTTATAGACTTATCTTTGTATCAGAGATGTCAAACTCTCTCGATCGATCGGTCCCTTACTCCTACTGCAGGAGTTACTCGAGTCCCATTCTCGTTAACACGTTGAGTGCCACGGGGGTCACCGGTGACCAATTAAATTGAATTACTATAGTTCACTCAATTAAACGATGATTATTTGAAAACATTTTTATATTATAAATAATGCTAGCTAATGTGGTGACATTCAACTAGATGAACGTGCAGTAATAATAGTGCAATTCAATCGACTGATTTAATATTTTATTTTTTCCATTTCGTGTGTTTTGCTCTGTGAAATCGTATGGCATCCAACCTGTTAACCCCTTGCTCTACAATATCGTGTCAGACTAGTGGTGAAGATTTCGAGTAGAATTTAATAACCATAAATATTATCGAATTTGTTTGAATACAAATTACATATTATTCCTCTGTTATCAATGATTATACTTTAGAGCACACGTTGACGTAGAATGAGGCTAAAATTTTCTCTTATTTTCAATCAATTATTAATAGGAAGGTGTAGAAAGGGTTAATTGATATTTCCACTATGGACAGCTATGGACAGCAGTGTAAGTGTTTGGTATAAACAGGAGACTTCCATACGCGTGTACACGTAGCAGCGATTAACTTGCCTGTGGCAGAGTTCACGCGCATTTGAAAGTGGAGGGGAAAGTACTGTTACGGAGAGGGCTACTTTCGCCGAGCGAAAGCTTTCGGCTAGGGAGCCACCCGTTCGACACCCCTGCTTTAACTCTTTGCACTCCAACAGTATATTATTAGTAACATTCAATGATTTCTGATGAGTTATCCTTAATATTATCTATATTTTTTGAAAAAATGAATTGCTCTCGATTAACGGGAACGCACTGTGTAGATGTGTTTGTATTTTAGTCCTGGTGCCTAAGGCGAACGCTTTCGTGGAGAACTTGCGGAAGTATCCTCACATGCACGACAAGAAGTATGCGGACGAACGGTTCGGCTCTACTGGACTGCTAGTGCTTCCGTAAGTGTCAATGATATCATTCGTGAGGATGATTTTGGAAAGGATTCTATTATGCGATAAATTCACGGGACTTTATCGGAAATTCTTTCATGTTTTCTTTTCCCCCTGTTCATAGGATGACTGCGATCGACAAAAAGCGCGTGGTATACAACGTAATCGAATACTCGCCGCTTTGCGACTCCAGCAACATGATGATGGAAGATTGGATTCGTATCGCTAATGACATTAAGGTATGTTTGGAGCAAATGTAGAGTACACCGAGGACAATCGGTTTACAGAATGAATGAGATTCAGTAGTTTTAATGTCAAATGTTGATTCGTTGGGACATCGAATATATGTACATAGTTGAGGAGGAAATATCGTACCGCCTTCTTCATGATCATGAACATAGTAGGATATGTCTTCTTAAAGTTCTCCTTGATTCCAGCAATCCTACGAACACTACGATGGCTTCGTCGTTCTACACGGAACGGACACGTTGAGCTACACAGCGTCAGCATTGTCGTTCATGCTCGAGTCCCTCGGCAAGATAGTTATCCTTACCGGGTCTCAGGTGCCGATTTTCGACACCAGAAGCGACGGCCTGGAAAATTTCCTCTCGTCTCTGGTTATAGCTGCGAATTACAACATACCGGAAGTGTGCATCTACTTCGGAACGAATCTGATGAGGGGCAACAGGACCATCAAGGTTTCGGCCACCGCGTTTGAAGCATTTGACTCACCGAATTTCCCGCCCCTCGCCAAGGCTAACACCAAGATTGAAGGTCAGCCGTGGTATCGCAATGCACAGATTCCATTCGCCGAATGATCTTCAGCTCGACAATGATTGCGCGATCGCTGTATTACATAAATTGGAGCTAAGTGGATAAATGTCTCGTTATCGGGGGTCACCAGTTGGAAAACAGTTGATAGCTTTTGTCGCGCGTACGTGTCAAATGTCGCCGTTCATTATCGTTCTATCAGACGCGTTAGCGTTTCCGCGTTAACACGGATATTTGTATACCTCGCGAGATTTGTAAATGTTTCCACTGAAACGACAGACGCCATCTGTTCAGCTCGTTAGCTCTATGAATAGCATAGAAGAATTGCTGTTTACGTTACAGTGGATTATAGGATTACTTATCGATCTTGCACGTTGGAGAAGTTCCACGTGCACAGCAAGTTGAACAGCAACGTGGGGCTGCTTCGCATATTCCCTAGCATCACCAGGGATCTGGTGAAGGCGTTCCTGCAGCCACCGATCGAGGGTGTCGTGTTGCAGAGCTACGGGGCTGGGAATATACCGGCGAATCGGAAGGACATAATCAGAGAATTTTGCGAGGCGTCGAAACGCGGGGTGATCTTGGTCAACATCACGCAATGCACGAGCGGCTGCGTTTCAAGGACTTACGAGCCTGAAAAACAACTTGAAGAAGCTGGTACGATGTACGCGCTGAGAGAAAAATGTATTCCTCCACCTTTTGTTTTTGATAACTTTATTCTGCAAGAGTGTCACTGCTGAACTGTAGGCTGATGAAACTGTTAAAAATCGTATCTAGTATATCCATGCATTCTTCTCTCGCGTCATGAGATGCGAATAGTAAGTTAATCCTTTGCACTCAAAAGTCTTCCATCGGAAGTATTCAATAGAGATTTCTTTGAAACTAACGTAATGATAGTTCACGCATAAATTAAGGAACGAAACTATTTTATTTCAATATTAATTTCTTAATTATTATTATTTTTATTTAACATTAATTACTAATAATATTAATGTAATTATTCATATTCATTTTATCAAATATATATTAAACTCATTTTTACTGTATCAAATCTGAGAGTTACCTCTTGATTGTAAAGGCTTAAAAAAACGTTTGATAATGCAGGTGTGATAGCGGGTTTTGACATGACGCCTGAGGCGGCTCTGACCAAGCTTGCCTATGTCTTGTCGAAAAAGGAATGGGACACGGAAACCAAGCGGCAAATCATGCAGTCCAATATACGGGGAGAATTAACTGGAGGAAGATCACCGTATCTTCAAGACCTAGACTTTGTAGAGGCAGTCGCGAGATCGTTGGGGATTTCTTCGTCCTCCGAGCTTCTAGAATTAGGGACAATACTGTTTCCGGCGATGCTGAATGCCGCTGTCATCGCCGGGGACATGATGAAACTTCAATCTTTGAAGGGATACGTAAGTGGTTGCAATTCATTCTCAATATCTGATGAACAACATTCAAGTGGTTTGTTATTCCAGGGTGCATACGTCTCCCAAACAAACGCCGACGGCCGCACCGCGTTGCACATCGCCTGCTGCGAAGGCGACTTGAGCATCGTGCGATGTCTTTTGAGGATGGGAGCGAACGTTCATATCAAAGATCGGTTTGGTCGTACACCACTTATTGATGCAGTGGAATACGATCACCACGATGTAATACTCTGCTGCTTTAATTCAACATTGAACTGTATAGATAGTATTCTACATAGCGTTCAATATTAATCTTTTGCACTCGAAAGTTTTTCATTGTTTGAAACTAATTTAACGATAATTCAGAAATAAATTAAACAACAAGGCTATTTTATTTAAATATTTCACATGGCAATATAAAGTTTCGTTTAGAATACCAAATATTCAATTTCATAGTTTTACTGTATCAAATCAAGCGGTGACTGAGAGTCACCTCTCGAGTGCAAAGGGTTAATCTCAATAAGGCAAATAGCGAATCTCGAGTTCACTAGTTAGATAATGTTAAGAATATGTTTTGCTTGGTAGAATATTTCAAAGAAATTATTTTGCTTGATCCTTCTAGAATTGATATCACTCTTGGCTCGATCCATTGAGGATTTGGTTTTATATTTTTAGGTCATCAAACTCTTGCTTCAATCCGGCGCCCACTTGGACGGAAGCGCTCACCTGATAGGTCAGAAGATGTGCGCCGCAGCATCAATAGGGAACACGAAACGGCTCAGCTCGTATCACTATGCGAACGCTAATCTCAATCAGAAGGAGTTCTCCGGTAGAACACCGTTGCACTTCGCCGCGTTGCACAATAAGGTGCAGACGATCAAGTTCTTGCTGGACCACGGAGTGAAGACCGACTGCAAAGACAAGCTGGGCCAAACTCCGTTGGATTTGGCCGAGGCAATCAGTTGCAAGGAAGCAGTGTTGTTGCTGTCGCGCTTGGAACCAGCCGTCAACTCCACGACACCGGCCACCGCGATGAAAACGATCAGATGAAAGTGAAACGAGCATTTATTTGTCGCAGTATATAACGTAATGCCACGGTCCCCTGCGACGTTACAGTGGCTGCGCGGGACAACGTATTAAGGAGAAAATCAAACGTTTACCCGTGCCCGGTATAATAACTAAGCGTCCTTGCGTTGTGCGGCTTAATAATCGCTCTCGCGTTTTAATGACAGTTAACGACACAGGAGCCACACAGACATGGTTATTTGTTCCCAAGGTGTCGCTCAAATTACGAGCAACGGTGTTCGCGAAAAGTGAAAGTCGTAGCCGACAATTATCATGTTCGAATCGCGCGACAACGTTTCATGTCGCACGCGTCCAAATGAAAACACATTTCCGTGAATTGTAATTTGCTGGTCAAGGGAAATACACATTCAAATTTTGTAGAAAAAATATATAGTATCTTTCGAATCTGTACAAGCATAGATAAGACGTACGTTAACATTGAATCCGTCACGCTATACCAAACTCGTTCATGACAGTCCTCAGAAGTGTTGGTGTGATAACGCAGCTTCTGTATACACGCGCGCAATCGTGGCCACCCATTCGTCCCGTGTCCACGGCGTCTTCAATCATTGTACCGTTTGTGACATCTTTGAACCACTTGTGGCTGTTCAAGACGAGGCATTAGCAACTGACGATAAGACTGGGCCGAGTTACAACATATTTCGAGCGTACCTGGATAAACCATCAATGATTTTATCGGTGCTGGTCGGGCTGTCCGAGTGCGCTGCCATTGAGACGATTGTGCAGACCACGCGTTGTATACACGGCGTCACGTACTCGTTGTTGAAGATCATACCGTTGATCGCGTTACCGAATTCTTGCCACTGAGAATCGTCCACCGAACCTGAAGTTATTACAAGAAGTTGAGATAGGGTCATATGTAATAATAACTTATAGGAATGCATTTGTCCACTCACGATAGTTCGTATGAGGCTTAGTCTTAGTAAACAATGACGGAACCACGCTGAGCAGAGTCGTCAGGAGACCGACCATACCTAGAGCCTTCGTATTCACGTTTAACAGTGATGGTACATGACTGTGATCTCCTATTTTTTGATCGAGCGGTATGGAGATAAATGGAATGTTCACCGACCAATCAAGCTGGATGATCAATAAGATATAAGAATAATGACAGTTTACATCCGTGGTTCCTAACGTGAGGTGATTTGACGGGAACCAATTCGAAAATTTACAGTGAATTCTTTGCATTTCTTTTGACTCTAGTGGTTACATATACAGTGCATAAATTAAAATTATATTATTTTTTCTCCAATCTTTCAATGACTCCTAGCTGAGTTCTTTAACGGTTACATTCTTCTATTTTTTTTATAAATACTATGTTTTTTGTAAATTCAGACCAAGTTAATATCGTTTAAGCTTCCCCCAAGTTTCCACGTTTTGAATAACAAGAATTAGATTTTAGAGATACTTAGGTGGGTTGAAAAAATGTTGGAAACCACCGGTATGCATGAACATTGTAAAAACACTTGAAATTTACTTGCTTTGAAAGCGGTAGAACTCACATGGATTTTCTCGTCCTCTGAATTGAAGGAGACCAGTCCTCCACTTGGATGATGATTGTAGATTTTGTTCTGTGCTCTAGACATCTTCGTCCCTCCGTCAATGTTAGGTTCCATCGCTTCAGAGATACACAAAACAGCGCAAAGCACAAATACGATGCCTATCGTCGAGTTGTTCATTGCAGCTACCGAAATGTCCAATCTAAAACACGAAATTTAAAGAATTGTCCACGGTTTTCGTGATGGTCCGGTGATCGATTGCGGACGAGGACGGAGCCGCGTTTGCCGAATCCTTGATCCTGTCAGCAGTTTTTGTAGAAGAGCCGGCCTACCCTCGACACCCAGGAAATTGCTGCCAGCCGAATTAACGAACCTAAAAGCGATTTCTGGATAAATTACTGTCGCATTGCCGGCTTCGTTACGCCGGTCACCGTCACGGCTGAAAATTTCGCGAATCCGTGGACAAACGAACGGACGCACGGACGGTACTCCGCCGTTTCGTAATTGCGTGCGTTCGCCATTTTCACCGGAAGGGGAATCGTTCTGTTCGCATTCTAGTGGTTTCCTTGAAACTTCCGTAAGCTCAACCCTGCGAAAGGGTTACAGTATATCAAATTTTACAAACATTTGGTAAAGTTTAACGTCCATTTGAATTGATGCAATTATATAAATAGGTGGCTTAATTCTTTATTTTTGAATCTTCAATTTCTAACATTTAAATGTACGAACATCAATTTATCTAGCAACATAGAATAAATACAGAGCAATATAATATTATAAATAGTGCAACAATCGTTTGATAAATGTTTACGTGGACTCTGATTGACGTAATTACAGAAATTTTCATTGTTTATTTCTAGATCTCTAAGTTTTAACATTTCTAAGTCCAGCGTTAAAAATACGTTTTAAGATGTTATAATTAGATATATAAATAGTTATAAAAGACTAATTAACTTCTACTCTTAATAGAAGATCGAAAATTTGTTACTCAAAGAATTTCGATAAGGAAACTACGAACCTACAAGATTGAACTTTCATTTTAATCGAAAAATGGAAACCCATATACATATATTGCTATTCAGATATTTACCGTTTGCAAACGAATCTTTTGTATTCGTTATTTATTTATATTCTATGGTAGGTGTGCTTCACGAATGGGTTCACCGCGAGCGTTTTTTCATCATACGTGCGCATTCATACGAGAAGTTTGTTAGTGCACGCACACGAGGCTCGACTTTCGTGAATTTTCCGGGGTAACCTGCAGAACGAATTTCTCGTCTCGGAACCAGGCGAACGCGGGGAGGGCGAGAAGCGTACTCTAGTTTCGCAAGAACCGTGTTCCTCCATTTTATCATGAAGAAGAACACGACCATTCCCTTTCCAACTCGTTCAATTGCTCGTAAGATCGAGCTTCAGTTTTTAACACATGCTTTACAAAACGACCGATTCATGATCTCCTCTTTCTCACAATTACACATTCCTCTTTTTAACGTCACGAATAATTTTCAACAACAATAATCATTTCTCTTTTGTAATTATTTTATATATAAAGGCAACAGATTCCCTGAAATACTACCAAAGAAATTGATTTAGCGGTACCCGAACCGAATTAGAAATCAGTTGAAACTTCAATTGACGCGCTCTTATCGTTGAAGTTTCTGTACAAAAATTCGAAAAGAGTTCATTCGGCTTCTCGGTAGTACCAGTGTTAATGGCCTCGTTATCACTCTTGCGAAAGATGAATTAGTTCGAGCTGTAGGCACGCGGCACAACAATGCCGCGACAATGGACGTCCACCTGCTTCTCCGGGAGTCACGCACCGTGATAACGTCCCATGAAAATCTAGCAACGAAAGCGAAACCGTCGGGTCCAATTATACCTGTGGCTCGTCGTCTCGTGACGACCCGAAGCAACGGGTTGAACGGGCTATATATTCCAGGAGCCGTCTCGACGTCGTTCAGTTTCCCCGAAAGCGACGCGTCCGCCAAGTTTTTTCTATTTTCCGCGTTCCATCTATCGAAATGGTATGGTCCACTATCGAAAAGCTCAACTGGTGTCATAACTGTTTTCAATCTTCGCTTACGAACGTCGCAAAAATTGATCGATTTTCATGAACTTTTAGTTTGCAATAGCGGTTCCACTAACGCTTTCAGTTCTTTTTCGTAGCTTATTTAATTACTTTTTGGTGATGTACAATAGTTTTTTTAAGAATTCAAAAATATACTTGATCCATATGCTAGCTTCTATTGAAAAATTGCCAGAATGCCGAATATAGAGATCCGAAAATCGATAATTTGTTACGATGTTCGTAGGTAATTACTTCCTTAAACGCGATTTGATTTCAAATGGGTCCTATTCTTTTGCAGATGGTGTTAAACGCTTGGGACCTGATCATTCTGCTGATGTCCTCCGTGGCGGTTGTTAAGGGCAGCCCAAAGTACAACGATGGAGGGTAAGATTTACAGGTTGAACTGTAACTTATACCTAAAAGAGATCTTAACGTGTTCACTGTCCAGGTCTAATGGCCCTTTATACAATAGTATTGCATTAGAAGTCCATCAGAAATCTATTCAATAGAAGTCCATTGGAAAACAGTAACATTTTTATGAATTTATATGAAACTATTCGAAGATATTGTATTGTTTCCACAGGTCCAATAAACTTTTAATTTACCGAAATTAGGCGTTCACTTAACGCACTATAGTTGCATAGAAGTATGTATTTGAATCACATATAATAGTAGTTTCTGCGTCCAATAAATCACATGTGAATCACAGACAGTGAACGCGTGTTAAAGGAAGGAATTCTATTAATTGTATTAATTGAATTAAATGAATATCTTAAACAGATTTATACCGAGTTCCATGATCTTCTTGGAAAGGGATCCAAAGTCCCAGGATCAAGTAGCCATGCCGTCCCACGTGGATCCACGGGCAGAGACGTCGACCAAGCGCAGCGACTCCGAGACGAACGACATTACGGATCGCAGCCAGGAACCTCGATTCGGTTTTACAAGCGTTGGCAGCACAGGAACTGTAAGAATTATTTCCGTTGATTCGTTTCACTCTCAACATTTTATTAAATACTGATACACCCTAATTTTGTAGGGTTACGGAGTGTCGTCTGTCGCCCCCGCGAAGATAGACTTAGGCGGCCTACTTCTAGGCGCCATCATAGGGGTAGGCTCCATCTTGATCATTCCCAAACTGCTCTACGTCCTCTCTGGCACCTACGGCCAGTACGCGAGAAGTAAGATAAAATAATAGTTTATTTAAACTGATGAATGGAACATAAGAAAGAACATAAGCTTTGTCCATCTCTGATCATTAGGCTGCGGATTTTTAGGCGCTGGGAAATTTTAAAATGCGAATGTAAGAAGTAAAGCGGAAAAAAAATATAATATTTATTAAAAGAAATGTAATATAGTAAAATAATTAGTATAATAGTGTATTTTAACGAGGCAATAAAAATGTCTTCCGTGAGGTCTTTCAAGCAATTGTCCGCTTTGCCTAACACATCCAAAGTGTAGTGCTTTTTAAAGTATTTATTATGGAGAACCATTTGTTGTTCTTTGAATTCTATTTTTCAAAATTCGAATTTGCATGAGGATCCGCAATCTACTGATCATTATAGCGGCGCGGTTTGATGATACGATTGAACGAATTGCAGGCGAAGAAAATGGCGTCTCGCAGATTGTGACGAAACTGGACGACGTCCTGGCTCGACACGGGATAGACACCACGTCCTGCATGCAACGGGCCGTGTGCACTTATTCGCAGCAGGCCGCGTTGTCCATGAAGGAAGCGAACAGGTTGAACGACGAGGAGCAAGCGTCGTCGTTCGACCGTATGGTCGACACGATAACGACGAATCAAATCTTCCGCACGGCCATGGAAGGCACAGCGATTCAGGAAGCGGTGGAGGCTGGCCGATCAGGTCGAAATTGTCCACGAACGTATCCTCATTGCGGCTTCTCTATGGAGACTATGTTGTCTTTGTTATCGAACGTGATTACTGCGGCTGCGAGCATTAATACAGCGTCGACAACAGCGCCTAGTGGACCTGGACCGGTGTAACTGATTGTAGCATGCGCGAGTAGAATGCTCTGATTAACGCTATTGAGAAGATAACAAATGATCCTCTGAGGAATTATTAAAGAAATTGTTTTCACTATACGCAAACTGAACTAGAAATCAGTCGACACCTCAGTAGATGTACTTTTGGAGTTTCTATACAAAAATTAAGAAAAGTCAATTTGCTCGGCAGTTCTAGTGTTAAAGGCAACAGCTTAAAGATTAACCCTGCTGTGTTGTTCGGGTCTATTTGTTCCAATGATATTTTCATTTTCTCAACACTGTTCATTTGATGTTTTCTAATGTATTCAAGTTCTCATCTTGTCGGGGATGTATTTCAATTTGAGAACAAGATAATTAGACTATGCATTTGTACTATTCTAGTGATGTGTCGAATGTACAGGAAAAGTTGAGAACTACATCAGGGTTGAAGGCTTAACACATTACAGGCCGATCATTGAAAGGTACAATTTAAGTCTGCGCGTTTGTGCTGTATTGGTTTTTTTTCTGTTGAACAACTGCATTTTTCTAAAACACAATTAGATGGTAAATAATACTAGAAACGTCATTGGTCTTTAATGTGTTAAGCGAGCTTCTGGCAATGACCGATTACTTCCTTGATGTTTCCTCCATGATGAAGGAAACATTAACGCCATAGGACGAGACGCGACTTAAGCGTGTTAACGTATGGTTCCATTTGAATAGTTTGTTAGATCGTAGGGATTGACCAGTTCCTGTGAGGAATCATCTAATTTAGGATGGTAAGCGAAGTGAACGATTAACTAATTAAAAACTAGAGCCGCGATGTATCTCTGTATGTTGCTCTCTTTTATTTTATCATTCGTTACACGCGTGAGTTTTGATAGGCGTGGTCGTGTACCACGCGTCGTATCTCCGCGTGTTATCGGTACAGATGATAATAGAGAAATAGTAACTCTAGAACATTCTTCTTGCGATTTCGTGCTTCGTTGAAGGTCTACTGTATCTCCTTCGTTCACCATACTTCGTAAATCACCGTGTTCGAACAAAATAGGCACATTCTAGATTAAAGTTACTACAACCCCCGATATACGTAGACACAACAATCTTTAAGAGCGTATATAAATATATTGATCATTCACGATTAATAATCCACGTGCGAGGTGTCCATTCCTAATAGAAGAGAAACGAATGTTACAAGATTCGATATCGTGTACCGTGTTCGAATTTACCGGTACCCGGTATCTGGAACTTAAATCTCAAGAGTCCTTGAGGGGTATAGATTAATTAGATTGTAAAGCTTCATGATGTTACATGGAAAAATAGTGAATATTCTCTATACATGTATTCTAGTTCTTTGGTCCTTAGCGAGATACTTCCAACGGATTGTTAAATGATAAAAATAAGTTAACATCGATAAACTGAATAAACGTAACGCGTCAAGCATTCAAATGAACCTCCCTTCAGAACGTTGCATTCTTTTTACTGTGATAAACGTATCTTAATTGCAATTCAACGATATACTCAATATTCTTTAGCTATACACGGATGTATATACACTAAACCTTGAAAGTAATTGATATCCGTTGTTAAATTCATATTGCTCTCAAAGTGCACTCGATAACTGACATCCCTCCTATCTATAAATGTTACCCGACTTTTTTTTTATAAGAATAAGATCTCTGGTATCTACAATATACATTCGATGCACGATTGCTCTCCAGCACCAACAGTCGTAAACATACTCTTGTACTCGTTTCCATTATTGGCAACACTCTTTGTACACCGCGCTAGTCATTTCATGTATTGTCGCTTCGGCAGAAGCAGAACCACCCCTATGGCGACGCACACGTGCCAAAGGCTGTGGATGATGTAATAATTTCTTCTTGTTTGTAGGAACGCGTAGCAGACCAAGCCGAGGGAGACCAACAGAAGACCAGCCGGGAAATAAACACTTCTGCGAATAAAAATGAACACTATTCTCAGTAATACAGTCTTTAACAGACAGGGTTGATCAATCACTGTGGTACAACTAGAAAAGAGTTTCCTTATCATTCCAACTTCCATTCACTTTCCTATCAAGAATCATTCCTTTCCCACGTTGTACCACTCTATACATAGGATAGTTCCAGGTGAGATAGCCCAATCTTATTTATACTGTCAAATATCTATATCATCAACTACTTGCAGTGGTATTTGCAGAGTTAAGCTCAATGCTACATATGATAACAGCTCTTTAACACATTGAGCGCCGGCGACTTAAGAGACATTTAAAGCCTGAACGCCGGCAACGCATCGGCCACTTAGCCCAAACGCCGGCTTCATTCGCTTGTATCTGATCAATGAATAGCCAAAAAAAAGTATTCAAAACATTATACATTTTCGTAAAATAGTACATTTTAATTGCATATTCGTCAAATCCAGAAATGGAAATCCAGAAATCCGCATTATTGCGGGGCCGGCGCTCAACCGACAGATTCCGAATCCTGCGTTTTCACGGGGCCAGCGTTCAATGTGTTAAAAAAGTGGGCCACCTCTCCTTCTTACCCTATTTCCACTTCTTCACTCACAAACCTGTAAGGCCGAGATGGATATCGAACAGTGCCTCTCCTCTTGCACCTACTGCCCCAAGACAGGCCTATCAAAGCCGAGCCAGTGATGGCAGGCAGAAGGAACACCCACAGAGCCGTGCGGTCCATTTCAGCGCTCATGGCTAAGATAACAGCTCCAGCAATCTGACAAAACGCGGTGAGCTTCGGCCCAAACGAGGCCATGGCCACCAGAGTCACCCAGATGGACAGCAGGGCGTTGAAGAAGTCGCAGAACTGCAGGACGCTCAGCCTCATGATACAAACGCTGTAGACGTCCTCGCCAGCTTCGCAGGCGTGGTAGAACGTCGAGAAGAACATCACAGCGGCGTAGACGATAGCCTCTGTAAAGTACTCCCTGCGCACCGCCACGTAAACGGACGCGATGAATGCGAGATTACTGCAGGTCAACAGCAACACGCGGACGATCACATCACGGGTGCTGAGAACGTAGGTGTCGTCAGCGCAATCGAAACCCCTGTACGCGCCTGAACAGTGGCACGCGGCGAACACGAAGCCGCCGCTCATGTAGTGCATACACTTGCCACGGGAGTTGCAGCGGCCTTCGATACAGGGCATGGAAGAGATGCGGCTCTCTACTCTGGCGTTGCAGGGGGTCATGCATTCGCAATCGTCGCAGGCGGTGCCGTTCAGGCACGTGGACGTGCAATAGCAATTCTTTTCCACACAGAAGGACTTCAAGCTCACGTGCCATGTGCCTGGCTCCGGATAAGGGATGTGTAAGCTGGCTGGTACTGTGGAGTTCACGTAGATATCTGGCGCGGTGATGTTCTCCAGTCGCACGCAGCCTCCACCGGCAGTGATATTGGCGTAGTAACCTGTGGAAGTAAGATTCACTTGACCCAAATGGGAATATTGTAATAATCTATTTTAGACCGGTTCCTAGATTGGACCATAGCTGTTTTCATCGCTAATACTACCCGTAAAAATGACTGGTATTAGTTTTCTTATTCAGCAATCATTGATATTATAGCATTAAATATCCGAAATGATCTTGAAGATAATTTCACTTGGATACTACGAACACTTGGAGACACTGAAAAATTGTTGCAATGTTTGTAAGTATCACATATCAATCATATTAAATGCTCGGTAGCTCTAGTGTTAAGCTGATTTAGAAGATATCTTTTGGAATTACAGTTTCTATGTTTAAGTGGTCCAATAGAGGGAACTTTCCTCTGTCCAATCGATTACCGCACCGACCTAAAGAAATGCAAGCCACGACAACGACGTTCTTCTTCTCTTTTTCATTGAGGTTCACCAACTTGAGACCCAAGGTCAGCGTACCGCCCACGTCGTATATTCGACCAATTCCAAAGCTGAGGACGGACATGGTGTCTGCGGAGAGGTTGAAGGCGGACGACTTAGTGCCGTTCGCCAGCAGGTGCTCGTAGTCGAAGAGGAAGAAGTCGGGCAACGACTCCCTCATCAGATCCAGCGATTTCACCTGGCCAACCTCGGTGGGCGAGTTGTCCAGCAGTTGCAGGGACACGTTCGACGAGTTACCGGAGAGCAGACGAAGCGTCACGTAATGAAACATATCCGAGTAAGGCTTGAAGAAAAGGGTGGAGTTCGTGGTGTTCACGATCGTCGCTGCCAGGTGGTCATCCGCGGTCACGTGGACAGCGACTTGACACTCCTCGCCGCAAGAAGACTTCAAGGAGAGGCTGGACTCCACGAACTGGTCAGGTATCAGCAGCTGCATCATGGCGGAATCGGCGCTCTCGTTCATATGTACCTCGTACTCCAGCTTCGAGTCCATTAAAGACACCAGTGATGCTGACTCTAGGAGCAGTTCAGCGTTCAGTACTGTATCGCAGGACGCTCCGAGGCCTGTAAAGGTATAAGCATCAGTTCATCAGGATTTACTCGAACGGTAGCTTTAATGCTTTCACGGTCTGGATGTCCATGGTTGTTTGAGGCTTTTAATTTTAGGTTTTCACTTAAACACAATTCGGAGCACCCTCCTCCCACTTTCTTAATTGACCAGCTGAATAATTAGCTAAAATAGCTACCCGATTGGTAATTACTGACCCATGACGTGAATTTTGGGTACTATATATATATATAATTATATAGTTACTATATATATTGGGTACTATATATATATATATAATTATAATTCTTTCTGGACACTGATCTCATCCGCAAGCCTCAAATAACCAGGACTTACTCGGTTCTCTGGTAATCGACGAATACCCTGTTGAGTGATCTTCCCGTTGTCAGGATCGCTCCAGGATCGGAACGCGATCGCGTACCAATCACCTGGCGCTGGCGCGTCTATCCTGATCATGTACTTGTCACCGTTGCTCTCCATGTTCAGAGCGTAGTACCGGCGTCTTCCTTTCATTAGCTTCGCGGCGATCTTCGACCCGTCCGGTCGTACGAACGGCAAGCTGCCGGACTTCAGGAATACCGAGACATTTCGAGGCGAGCATCTACCTATTCCTCCAGTTTTCTCTTCTTCTACAGTGAACCTGAAATTACATGCGACATAATCTACAAGTTGCTCGTCATCCTCATTTTCTTTGTCTTTTAGGTGTTGCGACCTTTGTGAGCAACGATAGAGTAAATCGGATAGAGACGGCCCAGTTTTTTAAAATGATCTGATAGATCATAAATATCTTTAATACCCAATGAGAATATATATTTATGAAAGTAATTACGTAGAAGAAGGATAATTAAATCGGCGTCTATGTAAGATTAACACGTAGACCACGATGGGCAATTACAAGAAGAAGACTGACGTGAAATCGAAATGTTTAGCAGTATAACTAAATAACAGTGGAACTTAAGAACCACGATACCAAATCATTAATAAGTAATTTTAATACCATTTGCCTTTGTTAAGAATGAGTAAATAATATTCTATAAAACGCTCAAAATTCTTGTTAAAGTCAACGTGTTAAGTTTACCGTTGAAAGGAATTGAAGATACAGACATTAGACCATTTAAATCAGATTAGACCATCCCACCCGGTATTACCCTGTATTTACTTGAACTCTGCGGCGACGGTGCAGTCCGGCACGTTGAAGTGAATGATCGAGATGTGACGGTAGGCGTAATAATCGTCGAGAACGACGTTCGGCCGTTGCGCGACCCGCTCGAGCTTGCCGCATAGTCCTCGTTGTATCGCGAGAATCCATGCCAATGAGAAGGCTAGCACGCTGTCTCGCATATTATAGACCCTGCGATTCGCCACATAACAAAGTACCTGTCCTGCCGATTAGAGGAATTCTGTTCCGCTATCCTGCACAGAAAACGGTGTACATTTATCGTGTAAATCGCTGACTACCTTGGATTCGTGGATTCGGAACGCAAGGGGAAGAACGGAATTTTGAGAGAAATTCTGAATGATCCGTAGACTGCGGGTCCTTACGCAAATTCAAATTTTTCACCCTTAGCAGTCCTATGTCGAGTCAGACTCGACATTCTATTTTATTGCAACCTCTACCTGTTTTAACAATTTTTTCTATATTTATTTGTAGTATCACATTTAAAGGTAACATTTCAATGACTCCCAAATATTCTTGAATAAATAAATAGAGCGTCATATTAAGCTGCAATTAAATGAACTAACGTTGACGTGAACCTCAAAGTGAGAAACCAAGAGCACTTCGGACCGCAAAGGGTTAAGGGCATAATTAAAAGAGCAGATGTACGATGGAAAAAGGTTTTTCCTAACGAATACTATGCGATAGAGTTACACATTGAATATTTCACACATTTCTCTGTGCCGTGTGCATTTCGTGCGATTGTGCACTCTTAAGTTTCCTATAAATGCATCAAAATCTGCAGTCCGTAAAATACCATTATTATATCGTCGTCATTAACCCTGGAACAACTTAGTCGAATCGCAGTTTTCCAACTTTTCTATGGAAACTCTAAAAGTGCATCTATTGAGACTTCTACTTATAATTCGGTTCACGTGTTACGATACAATGTATTCAATCGTTTATTATCTTTTCAATAATTTTAGGAGAAAATATCGAAAATAGGCAATTTCGAGCCATCTGGTGGTTCCAGCGTTAATTGCGATAGCTTTAATTAAACGTTAATGAAATTAATGTTATACAATTCCAACGCTTGTTAGAGTGACGTCGACAGCTGGTGACTATTTTCAAATCTGATGAAATTTTATTTCTGAGAATGTTCAATGATTAAGACTATTATCAGAATCGTGCGATAAGTTATTCGCATGATTATGGGAGAATTGCCACAGGTGTCTTTACGCAATTGGTTTTGAAGATAAGAGGACCGGAAAAGACGACGTTGTCGGATAATGAGGAAATATTCCAATTCTTGGTAATTGGCGGGCAGAGAAACGAGTAGGAGGAATTACACCTTCGCGTTTCGTCTGATCGGGTTCGTTTCCGACGTGGAAGAAGATTCAAATGATATGCATGACCGAAGTAGGCCAGACTCCGCTGTTAATTCGCGCTTCCTGCGCTCGGAAGAAACGATAGATTATTGGAACACATACGGCTTCCATGCCGCATCGTTTGTAATCCGATGTTCTGAAACTTTTTCATTCAACCCGGGAATTCCCCTGTTACCTCTATCACGGAAACATTAACGCGTTAACACCTCACTGACCAGTAATTTTAACTGAAAATCCCCTTGACCCTTTGCACTCGAAAGGTGACTCTTGTTCACCACTTGATTTCATACAGTAAAACTATGAAATTTGATGTTTAATATTATACCTTGCATAACGCATCAATTTGAGAAATATTGAAATAAAATAACTTTGTTCTTCAATGTACGTATGATTTCTCTTCGAATTAGTTTCACAAAATATCGTCTTTATCTCATCAGAAAATGTTCAAATATTTCTAGTGAAAAACTTCCGAGTGTAAAGGGTTAAATTTATCTGAGAATTACCTGAAAATCAAATTCCTTTAACTTTAGATGACTACCATAAGTTACTGTTACTCCGTAACTAAACGTTCGACTCATACGCTACGAATTAAAGACATGCATTAAGAAATAGAAAAGCGTACAATATTAACGTTTGTGGTTTCGGTAGATGTTTAGTTGTCTAGGGTTAAACTTCAATGTACGTAAGTACTTTGCTTGTAGACAATATGTTAAAATAATTAAAACAATTTGAGCGAAACATGAAATGGATACAGCGATTATGAATTCTAAGAAACATCGAGAGCCCTTATGACAGAGTTAAAATAAATAGCACACAAAGAATCGATTTTCTATAAAATATCCGTTGACCGATTTTATTTTAAAAGTTGATTAAAACAACAATCCGTAACGTCTCCTATTGCGAATTGTAATATATGCGAAGTGCTCGTTGTTAGCGAGCACTGTATAATCGTCTTAACAATTTGAAAATTGTATATCGATTAGCGACAGTCAGTCCAGCTCGATGCATACTCCAATGCTAGATGAACATTATCTTATTAGCCGATAAGGATTTTTTTTCGACAGTGATATATATCGCGAGATATAAATCAAACGCGCTTAGCTCGTTTAAAATTTCAACACTAGGTTCACAGACATTCAGTATGCAGTTTATTCTATTGTTGCTAGAAAAATTGATGTTCGTTCGTTTAAATGTTTGAAATTAATAATTTAAAAATAATTGAAATATACGTATAATAGTAAGTAAACAGTTCAAATAGTAATAATAAATAGTAGGATACTATAGGTATAATAGTTTCAAAATAATTGAAAAATAGGTTTAAAAATAACAATATTTACAAAATTCGATATACGTCGAATTGAGGTGTTTCGCAAATCCCAGTGTTAATATAATTTGAATTACTTCTATTTATATTGATACTCTAACAATCGTAATTATTCTTTACGATACGTACTGCACGTATTATTTAAATGTCACGAAGTGTCTAGAATAAATAATAATTTCGATTACAAATAATCAATTCTTCTTTCAAAGTGTTCAACGACGCTGGGACGGTTTACCGGTACCACCGAATTTCAAAAACCGGCGGGAAACGTATTAACACCGTTAAGAGGGTAGTTAGGTATGCTCGAGTAATTCATTATCGACCAGCTGCAGCTACCTGGTCGGTAATCGAACATTAACACGATGATTTATGGTGACTGCCATTAACTTCGCCTCTGTTGATGCACAGATCCGAACGTTTACGCTCGATTAACTTACACTCCTGCAACTATCACACGTACGAGCCGCAGATCAAATATCAGTAGGGTCGGGAAACGATAACTTCTTGAAACCCGAGACGAATCGGTTCCCCTTTAAGATTATCTTAAATATTGGCCCGGCAACAAGTGTTCCGTGCTCGTTGCAACTTTTCAACAACTTTCCCGACCAATCAAAGTTTGCGCGGGAATTTCGCCAACCAGTATCCGCCGACACTGTTCGTCGACCGAGTATTCTCGACAGTGTTAGCCGAGACCGATTCAGCTACTGCTGGACAGTCACGGCTCGACGTGATACTCCCCACTAATCTTGAACACGATTATTTTAAAGCACTCACGCAAGTTTTGTGCAAGTTACAATGAGACTGGTAAACAGATTACATATGATTCGTGGCCAGCAATTCAGGAACTGCTATCGTTATCTAGATTCCCTAGTCGCGGTATTTACTTAGATTGATCGATCAATAAGATTGACGTGTGGCTTTACAACGAATACAACAGTAGAAAATGACCAACAGTCGTGTTTATATCTGTACAAAAATTGCGATCCCTTCCTTTGCATCCCATCTGCAATCATCCTCCTCCTCCCCTTCCTCCTTCTCCACCACCTCCTATCCCCCTCTCTCGCTCCCTGCTTTCCTCCCCTTGCTCGTGTCTATTCTGTCGCGTTAACCAGCTGCTATTGAGAACGAGTCTGTATCGTAATTACGTGTAATGATTGTACCAACAATGTGTACAGTGCTTACTTACTATTGGCTTGACCGAGTAATACAACGATAATTCCCTCATTACTAACGGTCCTGCGTGACACGACACGAAGCATTTGGCCCGTTTATCCGCAGCGTTACGATATCAACCTATTTCCCTGGACGTATCACGTGGAATCAAGATTCCGCGGTTTGTCGGACATACGCGTAACTAATTCTCTTATTTCCGTCACTGAACGCACACGCGAGCACGTACCGGGAACTTGTAGGAACACGTGGTCGCTTTGACAGATATTCCTGATCTCACGTGAGAGCGCATCCGTGGCTGCTTGGCGGACTGAAAATCCCCGGAAGGTATTTATCGATCGTTCCGCGCGGAGAGTAATCGCGCGCCACGATATTCACCAGCGAATGCGCTGCGAGTACAGAACCCTTGCGCGACCGGTTGCACTGAGTAACCCACGTCACCAAGGTCCACATGAGCGGGGGAGGGAGTACTCGCAGTGATTCAAGACTTCTCCTTTTAACTGGACACTTAATATTGAATCGAGTCAAAGCGCCGCTGTCGAGGCGCAGTCCTACACGTGGGTCGATCAGCTGAGTGAATCACGTCTCGTCCGAAGCCTTTCAAAGCATCCCAGTCTTGCGAGCATTTCCACGCGAACAGTTATTTTCTTTTTCTGCTAGCGACTCGCAACCTTCTTTTCATTTTGAACGCACTCACCGGACACATAGGCTTATACTAGCGATCATGAAATGAAAATAATGAATCTTACATTAACGTTTGAAAGAATAAATAGTTGTAATTCGGTGAATATATTATATTTGTGAATGTATAAAAAATTTGTTCCTATATACAAGTCTCATTTTTCTCCAGGGTTCGACAACTTGGATACAGATGAATTAATTCAAGCGTCTAAATATTAGTCGGTGTTAGTTGTTTCGAAACAGGTTTCGTTAAAATTCCCAAGTGTCCATCCACTTTAAGGAGTGCATTGGACTTTCGGGATCATGGGCAGATGGGCCAACCATACCGTACGCCAATGGTGAAAACAAATAGAAACTGAAACAGACGTATGTTAATCATTCATGTATGTTATTTATGATCACTTGTTTCTTTTCATTATACTCACCTGTATGCAGTACTTGAAATCACAGTACCTAATATTACGTGATAGATCACGTATCCCACTTTGTTTGGAAACATAATGAGTAAAGTCTCTATTATGTAGTTCAGAGTTATTCCACTTAACATTGAACTATATAACAAAGCAGGGAAGTAATGATGAAAATATAAAACCCTACTCATCGTCCAAAATGGCGCGTAATGCAATATCCAGCCAAGAAATAGCCATTTCCCTGCATTTACAATTTTGTTTCGTTGTTCAAGTAAAGCGGGCTGATCCATACAGCCACGCTGCTGTCGTACACAAGCATGAACATACAAAATGATAAATAATATTAAGAATACTATGTTGCCCCACCATATGATTGGATTTCCGAGTAAGTATATTCTTAAATTGTTTCCCGAGAAGAATTGACCCTGAAAAGATTACAATTAAAGTAAACATACACGTTTTCATTTAGCGAGCGAATAAAACTTACTCTGTAATTAATGGGCCATTGCCATGGGCGTGAAGATACTTCTCCTTCTTTTACTTTTAAATCTGAATTTCCTTGCAGCATCACCGCGTGCGATTCTAAAAATCTATTTAAAAATCCTGGCGCGTAAACTTGAAAACTTACATTTGGTACTATACAAAAGGAAAGACATTAACAAATAATCAATATAATTATTAGTATACTTTTTCTCTTATTAATGTTTTAGTACTTACACTTCGCATAATTGTTATCTTCAATATTCCACAACGCATTCTTATCTCTCATATTTGGATTGCAAGAAACTTCCTGCTGACTGTACGCCCTACACACCATATATAATGATTATAATATTTTTAAAAAATTGATTTTTATCTGTTTTAAAAATGCAGCTAACCATTTTGGCAATGTTTTCCCGCTACATGTTAAAACGCAGTGCTGTAGATAGTGCACGAATTTTAATTTACTCGTTACTGTTTCAACTACATCGCCATTTTTACCATTTGCTATATACACTATCCATACATCGTTTGCGTCTCCGGTACCATTCTAAAAAATAAAGATACGTGTAACTGCACAATAGACCATATTATTAAAAGATAAACATACTTCTCCGTAACCGGTAATTTGATAGTGTTTCTTTGATAATGGCGCGTACTCTTTATGCGAATGTAAATTTCGACGCGTAATAACATGTTCTAATCGAATAAGGTCACCATGCTTCACAAGCACCGGTTCATTTGGAATATCATCAGTATCCAGTCTTTTTACTAACCACATATTATTGTCATCTTTATGCGAATATGTCGTGATCTGAATAAATCATAAGTCTTAATATTTGAAAGAAATGTGCTTCCGAAGTGCGTATAAAAGTAAAAATTAATACTTGTTGTTGCCTAGCTCCAACACTTTCAGGATAAAGATGCCAATGAGAATGCAAATATCCTCCTCCAGTACGGTGATTCTTTAAAGTAATACTTGCCCCATAAGCTAATTGCCTTGGCATTGTTGCATTGTATAAAGAATTTCCTTCTAATAAGGACTGGAATTCAGAACTATAAAATCCATCTCCACTTCCACTAAAACGATTTAAATTTAATACTTTGTGAATAGTGTATAATATTTATTTTAAGTTATTTCCTTACCTTTTATTTAAAACAGAAAGATGTATATAGAAGAATAACATGTATAGTAGTACTGGCAAAAGAATAAGACAAATGCATCTTGCCACCAAATGTTTACCTACATAAGTCTGAAAAAGAATACATATTGTTGCAGACATGTATATACACAAACTCCAAGGCATCGACTAAAAAACTTACAATAGGTTCTGTAAGATTTCCTAATTCATTCCATAATTCAATGGCTGTGTGAAGCCCGACCAAAAGGACAGCAAACAGACCAACAAATTTTACGCTAATTGTACATGCAAGTGAAATTCCTGTAAAAGATAGCCAACCCCACCATTTCCACGTGAATGGTTCATTGCGAAGAGAACTCATGTGGGACATACCCCATGTTGCACACATCATAAAACATAATAGTATGGGATCCAATAATATGTATTGATTTAATGTCAACAAGCCAACATCTACAATACATTAATTATTAAAAACAGTGTCCTTATTAAGCAGAAATGTTAAAATGCACATACCAAATAAAATAAATGATGCAGAAAATACAGCTGCCTGAGTAGATTTTGTTAAATCCCATACAATTAGATATGATAGAGGAACTGTGGTTGCACCTAAGAACGTACAAAACTGAAACATAACGCATTTAATTTGTTTTTTTTTATAGTAAATAATTTAATCATTATAGTTGTATTAACACATTTGTGATCATGTGTCACATATGTGTGATCACAGATGCTTTTGTCGTCAAAACCCTATTGTCGTATTGGCTATATAAAAATATTATTTATGTAAAATACTTTTATCGTTTTATTTACTATGTTTTAAATGTGTATAAATTATTGTTCACAGTCTATAGTAAGGGTAATTCAAATTTGATAGTGGTCGCGAATGTGTTAATCTTGAATTATACTTACAAGCCTCATACCAATATATTTTACATTTTCATATTTATCTCCTGGCTTGTCAAAAGCAAATGTTCCATTATATCCAGTTAAATATCCGGATAAACCTATTAACATCTGTAAATTAACAATGTACATTCTTAGTATACACATACAGATTTTATAAATGAAATACTTACCTTTCCAAGGGGTGGGTGAACATCGAAAAAGAATGTTCTATTTATATACCAACTTCCCATTTTACCAAAATGTGTCTCATCCCAACTAAAAATTAATACTTATGTAAATTACAAATTGTACGTTTATTCTATATATTTATACACTTACCAAACATGCTGTGGTTCCGTTACTTTGTAAAACCTTGTTCCTCCAGTGAGTATTACAATAAGTCCAAAAAGTAGCCACCAATTTCTATGAATATACATTTAAAAATGAAAAGTTTCATCATAGTTGAATTCTTTAAATTTACATTTAAAATAATAATATAATTATACATACATATTTTCAACTTTTTTACTTTCTATCTTTTTATCCTTCTCATCCCATAATGGCTGTTTATTTGTAGGTAAGTTTTTTATTTTATTCAAGCATTCCGAATTATTTATATTCTTCATTTTATCATGTGATTTTAATACTTTCATCATATAGATTATACTAGACTAAATATTGATTAATAAATACAGTAACGTAAAAAACTACACACCGTTATTTTAAATATATAATTCCAAAATTTATGGAACACGCAACAATCGCGCGCTTGTAATACTTGTTGAACTTCCAGTTGACCAACACAAATCTGTGAAAGTACCGCTATTGTCTCGCAGTAACGTACCATTTAAAAAACGAACCCTCATTTCCAAATATTGTTTACATATATTTTTCTAAATATTAAAATAATTGTAATTCTACCAAGAAATATTAACAACTGAGATAAATACATGAGAATTAGTTTATTTTAATCACAAAAATGTATTAATAGTGTGATAGTTTCGAAATATTTTGATTGTTTTGATTTGAATAATCAAAAGCATTAGGTGTCACATGTAATCAAATGGAAGCTACAGTTTGATACGGTAAGAGCGCATAATTTGTAAAGAAAAATAGTAAAACAAGTGCTTATAATCCTTGTCTTATTACATTCGAAAGTTATTTACAGATAAATATACATTGTTTACTGTTTTATTAGACATTAATCGAAAAATGGATGTCCTGGACATATTCGGTCCAAATGGCACATTTCAAAGAAAAACATTGGTGGGTCCTTCGAGCCGAAAAGAATTACCGAAAAACATGTCTTTATTAGACGCACAATTAAATGTAACAATGAAGAGCATAGGTGGTGGAACAGATTATGTAGCTGAATATATAGAAAAAGAAGAAAAAGAACTCTTAAAGGTACAGGAAGTTATTATTAAAAAATATTTTCAATTTTGCTTAATATTTTTTTCATTTTTAGTCGACCAATTATTACAACACGAATGATAAAAACAACTTTGAAATTGTATCACATGGCACGGAAGCCATCCAAGATATAACAAACAATGAGGACACATTAAAAATATACAAAACATATGATTTTGCTTATCATCCAAATATTAAATTAACGATTACTTCTAAGAAAGATGAAATAGTGTCTATGATTGAAACAAATTCTGTTGTAGCAATTCAAGGACCAACTGGTTGTGGTAAAACGACTCAGGTACCACAGTATATTTTAGATTCATGTTATAAGAAAAAACTTCATTGTAATATTATAGGTAATTTTCTTCTTTTTCTTAATGTATAAATTAAATTAAATAGAATCTTTACAATGTTACATGTTTAATAGTTACACAGCCTAGACGTATTGCTGCCATAAGTATTGCAAAACAAGTTAGCAAAGAAAGAGATTGGCCTATAGGTACTCTTGTTGGATACCAAGTAGGTTTGATAAATAATACAAGTAAAGATACTCGTTTAACATATTGTACAACTGGGGTCCTATTACATAAATTAATAAATTCTAAAAACATGTTGGATTATACGCATATTATACTCGATGAAGTTCACGAAAGGGAGCAAGACATGGATTTTCTTTTACTTGTTGTTCGTAAACTGTTACGTACCAATTCACGATTAGTAAAAGTTATTTTGATGTCCGCAACATTTGAGGTACAAAGATTTGCTAAATACTTCTCATCGCCTGTAAGGAACGAGCTTGTACCAGCTCCTATTATTGATGTTGCAAAGAAGAGTTACTTCAACATTGCTGTATATTATCTCTGTCAAATGGGTGCATTGGGTCCGGTAAATATATAAAATAAGTTACAATATTAATCTATTTTAGTTTTCATAGTCTATTATACTTTTCTTTGTTGTAGTTACCTGAAGTTTCTGCCACAGATCCAAGGATTACAAAGAAAATGCTGGATTTTTGTGTGAATCTTATAAAAATTCTTGATGATCTAGATATAAAAGCCGACGATGCAAATGAAGCTTACAACGCAGAGACAAATGTTTATTTAAGACATGTAATTCTTGTATTTCTACCAGGAATTAACGAAATTGAAGAATTACATAATTTATTGTCATTACCGAAACACGAAGAAGCTAAATGGGATATAGTAGTATTACACTCATCGATTACAAATGAAGAACAACAACGAATCTTTCACAAACCACCCCACGGTTACCGTCGTGTTATTTTATCTACAAATATCGCTGAAAGTAGTATCACAGTGCCCGACGTAAAATATGTAATTGATTTTTGTCTGACAAAACAACTTGTTATTGATCCAAAAACGAACTTTCAATATTTGGACCTTATATGGGCAAGCAAGGTGAATTGTGAACAAAGAGCAGGTCGCACAGGTCGAGTAATGGAAGGACGAGTATACAGACTAGTACCGCAAGCATTTTATAAATCTGTACTACCTCAAGAATTACATCCTGAGATATTGCGAGCTCCGCTCGCAAATCTTGTACTTAAGGCAAAACTACTAGACATGGGAGAACCAAAAGCTCTTTTAGCACTTTCCCTGGATCCCCCTGATCTCAGTAATTTAGAAAGAACGATCCTGCTTTTGAAAGAAGCAGGTGCACTAATCGACACGCCCAATGAAATACAAACTTTCAATGGAGAACTGACAGATCTTGGCAGAGTCATGGCTAATCTCCCACTGGACATTCACATAACAAAATTGATAATGTTGGGTCATGTCTACAGTGTTTTGAAAGATACAATCATTATTGCAGCCAGTTTGACAGTAAAAGATATGTTCAACAGTCCATTTCAGCAAAAATTGTTGGCGTACAATGTTCGACTCAGTTGGGCAGATAATTCTTGCAGCGATTGCATAGCTTTTATGAATGTCTATAAAGTATGGATCTGCGAGAAAGCAAATCGTCGAGTAAGAAACGATGCTGCAGAGAAGAAATGGGCAATGAGAAACTTTGTGCAAATCAGAGTGTTGCGCGAAGTCAAAGCTTTGGTTTCGGAATTGTCGAGTAGATTAGAGAAACTAGGCATAAGAGAAAGCGAAGGCTTGAATAAAGTAGTTTGGAAAGAAGCGGAACGACCGTTCGTTCTAAAATTTGTGATCGCAGGGGCATTTTATCCAAACTATTTTATCAAACATGTTTCAGAAGCACAGGCTGAGGAACATGCCGGAATAAAATTATTGGGCGGTTTAGATCCGTCTAAAACAGTATATCTGCAAGGATGGCCTCTAAGGCAACCTGGTCTTCTGTATGCTCGAAAAATCCAAGATGTTTTAAAGAATACTTTGCAATCTCCCGCTTGCAAAATAAGAGTATCCTTCGACGCTTCGTCTCGAATTTATATACAATTTATAAAAGACAAATTACACGAAAATCACAATAATAATACGCCGAAAAAAGTGTCTCCAATTGTGTACAAAGCTATCAGAATAAGACAGTGTAATATACCGTTAGAAATACCAATTTTGAATGAGGATATCGCTGTTCAACGGGCAGAGGAAATGAATTTAAAAAGAAAAGACTTCTTCACTTGCGACAACCTCATTAAAGATCATATGAGACCAAGGTTACCGAGTTTACGAGTGCATCGTATTCCCATTATAATACAATATGTACATAATCTAAAAGTATTTCTAACTTAATGTTCCGTGCGATTAATTGTATATTAATAACTTGAATTTTTTCAGGTTAAGAATCCCGGTCGATTTTGGGTGCAAATGCGCGACTCTAAAGTGAGAAAGGAAATAGAGAAAATAAAATTCATTATTGAAAGAAATATGTATCATTTCGGTCATTTTACTACAGCTCCGGAAACTGGTACAATTGTGATTGCACCGTACGAAATAAATAATTACAAATCATATTTCCGAGCAATAGTTGAAGGGCATATAACTTCACCAGAAATATTGGTACAAATATTTTTCATTGATTATGGTTATTCAAGCGAATGTCGTCTACGTGATTTAAAACGTTTGAACGTCGACGAGATTGCTAATATTCCTGCATTAGCCATGGAATGCGTTCTAGCGGAAATCCAGCCATCCATAGTGCAAAATTTAAATGACAATTGGTCGGAGGCTGCTTGTGACTTTTTCTGGATGTTAGTGAATAAGCCCGGTATATTGTTCGGTGAAATTTATTCTATTGTTAACGGTGTTATTGCACTGGAGCTAATACTTAAACATAACGATGAGGAAATTAGTATCAATCAATCACTGTTGGATAAAGGGTTTGCAATTGAACAAGCAGAAGGCTACTTTTCACGTTTTAATCATGATTTAAGACTGAAACAGGCGGACATGTCGGACGAACAGTGTTATCATTACGAGCAATTACAGTACAATGAAGATTACATGCCAGACATTTATCCAGAATCACCAAGCGACTCAGAATGTTTCACAAAGGTGACTTTGCGGGGGCCTTTCTCACCCCTAGAAATAGAAATGAAACACCTTACTATGGCTGGCAGAGATAAGAGAGTACACATGGCCACAAATTCTGTAAACTCCGTTCTTCTTGATACCGACCCGGAAGATTGTCATCAATGGCTTTTTGTAGCTGGATCCGTGTCCCAGAATGCGTACGGCAGCAGTTTAAATTTGTACAACACAACGTTAATGCCACGTCTTTCTGGCTTAACTGCGTTAATCATACTGATATTTACACCTTGTATGGAACTAAGACGTAACACTTTTGGTACATATTACATTGGCGCGTTGTGCGGACTTGGATTTAATCCTACCACCAAGAGAAGTCTATTCCCAGAACACGACATAGAGCTTCAGTTCGATGCCGAGATTACCATAGACGATCTGCAATATGTAAGCAATTTATTTAATTTATTTTTGTTTCGTCGTATACTTTCCTAATTTATTTTTTCTCGTTTGCTTGTGTATTTAGATAAATAGACTGCGTCATTGGATGAATATTGGAATGCAAATTAATCACCATTTCCAAAGTAGCGATAACATGGAAGACATAATAATCTGTCAAAACAGGATAAAAGACGCGTTACTCAAATTGATTGATAAAACACGAAAATCTCAAACACTTGAGAGAATTAATAACTTTGACACATGGAATCTCTATGATGAACGCCTTTATCTACGTCCTAATAAAACATCTATGATCGTCAATAATATATATAAGTTGCACAATGCATTGGAATTAGAAGAGACAGATCAGTTACAAGAAATTATAGAACACGTAAAACAATTACGATCGCTAATAATGGAGTAAGTAATAAACAAGTGAAAATATATTTTAACTAATGTACCAATTACTAATAATACATATTTTAATTGAATAGAGATCCAAGGAATCCTGAAAATATTAATATCCGCTGTAAACTGTGTCAAATTGTAGTGGACGACATTTATGACCTTCGTAGTCATTTATTCACTATCAGTCACAGAGAAAAGGAAAGACAATGGGGCATTCAAATTTAGGTTATTGTAATTAAATAATGAGATACGTTTAGTAACGAAAACAGTATTATTAGTCATTACTATATATTTGTTTACCATTTTTGATGAATACTATAAAATTATGTTAAGTTTATTTTTAGACAAAATATTTTGTTATATACTTCTAACTCAGGATTTACAAAGCTATATTTTGTTTTAACTTCAAAACGTAATTATTAATTTCCATTCAAATGTATGATAATTGTGTTTTCATAAGAAAAATATTGACCGTATGAAGAAACGAATACATAAATAAAAATTAGTATTGCGTACTTCCTACCAATGTTATATCTACAGACTGTGTATTTTTACAATGTATGTGATTAGTTCACGACGTATAAAACATGATTTTTTACAATTGTGATACTATCGACTATACAAAGAATATATTGGAGTACCTTAATGTAAGCAAGTGTTAATCGATATTTTAAACCTCTCTCTGAAGGTATCTCGCACTAGGTTGAGTGTATAATAACCGTCCAGGAACGTTTGCACCAGAAGCACTAACGTAAGTACCAGGTGGTGGTGGTGGGTACGGAGCAGGTGGAGGTTGGGGTGCTCTAACTGGATATCCTGATGTAATACCTCCTGTTTTCGCACCCTGTATAAAATTACAATATAAAGATATTGTATTGTTTAAATATACTACAATATGCAAATGAACCAAACCTGAGGTGGCTGTTGAATTGGAATAGCTCCACCATGTACAGTAACATGACTACTTGGACGTAAATAAAATTTATCTTCTGCATAGGCACCTTTATGATCCAATGAATGTAAGCTTGTTACATATGCTGGCAAGTAAAAAAACAAAACATGTCAATACTTGTTGAATTCTGTAGTTTACCCTTATCATAAAATATAAATTTATAAATTTTAATATACCCGTTTGATGTGTTGATAAAGTTCCTCTGTTCCCTGAAAGGTATACAGACTTTGCAGGTTCGGGTTCTCGAGATGGTTGCGTGGTAGGCGCTGAATAACTGTAGACACTTTGACCGGTAGGAGTTGAATAAAAGCTGGAGGCAGAGTACTGATTGTTTTCTGCAAGATAAGACACAATGATAAAATTAACAGTAGAATAATGCAAATGTTTTTGTTGATGGTTTCTTAAATCAAGAGCATAGAAATTAAAGAAGGTTTATTCACTCACTGTTCCAGAGAACAGCTCGGGAATCGCCAGATCTCCTAGCAGCTTCCTCAGATTCTATAGAGGCACAAACATCTACGTTTAATACTGTCTTTCTTTTACTTTCATAAATTATTTGTTAAATATTTAATTTTAGTACAAGGGTACGAGTAACATACGACTATGTACTTACTGGAAGGTGGAGGATTATAACTTGGAATCGAGGGTGCTGGTTTGTACCCATAACCAGCATGATACGGGGAGGCTGTTGGTGGTGGTGATGGACTGTGTGTTCTTTTCAAAGGTCCCTGAGGAAACAAAGGGTACAAATGTTACAGTTGTTCATGGAGATATACAAATAATATGTACTTACACTTGGCAATAAAGTATGTGTCGGTGTGCCAACAGTAACTTTATAAAGAGGGCTATTGCTTTGCGGTAATGGAAGGAATACTTGAGGATGAACCACTCTAGGACCTGCACCAGGGTATCCACCCACTGCATTTAATACTTCAGTGCATACACTGTAGAATGATAAAGTTCAATTATGATGTATCAACAGACTATGCATTTTATTCCGTACAAAATTTAATACAAACTTTGCTTCTGTAATTAATTTCCTTCTTCTATTATCATCTTCGTTCAATACTTTCTTTAATTGTAAAAACAATTGATGCTTTTCATCTTTTAACTGCGAGAGTTCATTTTCAAGATTTGATATTTGTTCTCTGGTTTCACCTAGAGTCATTACATCTTGTTTTTGCTGACGTTCCCTTTCCTTCCTCAGGCGTTCTTCCTCTGCATCTGCTTCTTGTTCTATATATTTATAATACACATAAATCGATTACAATTTTTTGTGTAAACTACATTTTTAGGGAACAAAAGCAGCATAACGATTTAATTTATATTAATTATAAAGCTAGAAACTTCAAATTTTAGAAATAATTTAATATGTGGGCTAGGTTACCTTGTTTCTTCCGTTGCCTTTCTCTAGTAATGTGGGTTTTTAATGCTTGCCACATTTGCTCGCTACGTTGAGGGGGGCCCACAATTACCGCTGGCATTTTTAATTAATTGTTCTTTAAGCTTAATACAATATAATTCTGTTACAATGCAATGACAAGTCGTAAGTACATTTCCAGATGTACTTTTTGTATACATTACTATACTGACATGATACATACATAGACAATTTTTACTACCGTTTTTCAACGCTAGGTGGCGAACAACTTAGATCGTAAATGCATAGAAGTGTACAAAACTGGAATTGCATTTCTTTTTTACAGACAGATCAACCATTGTGGAATTGTTTTCATGTTGTATAATCTTATTTCCAGTTAACATCAATAAATAAAAGATATTTAGTAAGTTATACCTAATTTCTTATTAAACCGTATTGAATAAGATACTACATAGTGTAGGTTTTGTTTACATCCGCATGAGATATATATTTGCCGAGGTACATGCTACTTTATTGCTAACTTGAATTTTCTTTTTCAGATTGTGACTGTAACTCAGATTAAGAGACTAAATTTTGTTCGAAATTTTAAAATAATTCTAAAACATGGCACATTACAAAGGAGCAGCCAGTGAAGCTGGCAGAGCGATGCAATTAATGAAAAAGAGAGAAATTGCTCAGCAAGAAATCGAATTAAGGAAAAAGAAGATAGAAGATGATTTAAAGATTCACAATATAGAGAATAAATTTGCAACTCACTATAATGCTGTTGAACAACAATTAAAAACATCCACTATCGGTTTAGTGACGTTAAATGAAATGAAAGCAAAACAAGAGAATATAGTAAAGGAACGAGAAAGGAAACTTGCGCAGAAAGAACGTGAAAAAGAACAAGAAAAAGAGAGAGCTCTTGCCGCGAAGCAAGCTGAGAAGAATAAACAGAAAAAACAAATACAAGCTTTATCATTTAATTTGGATGAAGATGATCTAGAAGTTTCTGATGAAGAGTCAGAATTGAAATTAGAAAAAATGAAAGACCATGATGATGATGATAAACCAGTAATAAAAAAGATAAAGAAAAATCCAGATGTAGATACAAGTTTCTTACCTGATAGGGAAAGAGAAGAAGAGGAAAATAGATTAAGGGAAGAACTAAGGCAAGAATGGGCTAGAAAACAAAATGCGCTAAAAGAAGAAGAAATTGAAATAACTTTCAGTTATTGGGATGGGTCTGGACACAGACGAAGTGTTGTAATGAAAAAAGGTAAAGGCCTATACTTATATGTATTTTCTTGTAAGATTATGTTTGTCAGATAAATAATTTGATGCTAATTGTTATTAGTTCGCACTGTTGGCAGGTAATTCTATCTATCAACTCCTTCAAAGATGTCTAGAAGTTTTAAGACGTGAATTCAGTGAATTGAAAACAGTTATGGCTGATCAGTTAATGTATGTGAAGGAGGATCTTATTCTACCACATCATTATACATTTTATGACTTTATTGTGACAAAGGTAAATGTTACATGGAATAAATAGATGATTACAATCATAAAACTATAGAAATCACCCATTGAAATTTGTTCTAGGCACGAGGTAAAAGTGGACCCCTTTTTACATTTGATGTTCACGATGACATTCGTGTCATGCATGATGCTTCTGTTGAAACAGAAGAATCTCATGCCGGAAAAGTGTTGCTTAGGTATTTAATTCTTTAGCAATAAAGGGTTTCTACAACAACATATATTTTACTAAATCATCGATTATTTGCAGATCTTGGTATGAAAGGAATAAGCACATATTTCCTGCTAGTAGATGGGAACCTTTCGATCCAACTAAAAGTTACGACAAATATACGGTATCCGATAAAAATAGGAAAAAGGATAAAATTTAATGTATATAGTATAGAAAATTATTGTATATGGACAAGACTGTGTTCAATAGAAGAGAATGAATACTATACAGTAAGTTGAATATTGCGGCAGGTATTAAATATTCGAAACTTGTATTAATATATATGTATTTAATTATAGTCATTCGAAATTTACAATTTCTTTAATCATTAAGGGTAGTGAGTAGGCACTGCTTAAACTAGAAGCCAAATATCATTACATATTTTTTGTACATTTAAAATAATGCATAAAAATTCCATTAAGCTATTCTTAGAAAAATATTTCATATGTATCATTAATATAATATTTTCAGAGATGTTTTATTTTTCGATGGTCTCATTTATGTCATTTCAGTGTTTCATTTTGATTCTGTTAAAAGACCTGACAATACTAGGAGAAATTTGACACTGTTACGAAAAAGTTGTAAATGTATGAGATGAATTATATAATTTTAGAAAAGTACATTTGCCTCATACGTTTATCTCAACTTCGGCGACATTTAAAATTGACGATGGATCAATGATTCGGGCTTCCTTTATCACTTCATCCAGAAGATTTTTATCGGTATCTTGCAAACTTTTCATTGTTGGTACACTGTTTACCGTGGAAATCACAATACTCGCATTAAACACGCTATCATGCGGCTTCATAAATTGCCCTCGATCATTGCGGAAGTCCTTACGATAGACCTGTTAATTTAAAAATTTTAAACAGCATTTTCCTTATGAACTTTTTCTCAAACTGTTTCGTTAACTCACGGAAATGTTCTTGTCCACTTCTAGAAGTACATTCTTTGTTTCCTCATCCACGACATACGGATTAATATCAGAATCTAATACTTCATCGATTACTCTTTCAACATCGCTTGTTGAATTCGTTACTCTCCAACTTTCATTCTCAGCATTGTTAAACAATTCCAAATCGAAATCGTTCGACTAACAAAACGCATTGAATCATGCTTCCTAAAGTTTATGAGCTTCAAGAAAGATGATTTAATACTTACTGAATTGTGAAGATAGCTAAGATTCATGGTATCTTCATTTCTAAATGTTTGCGGATTAAAACCGTTCGCCCCGATCGATATGTTTGATACGTTATCGTTATCTGATTCTATCTTCGCAGCGGTTGAATCGTTTTTTTCGTATTTCAAACGCAACTCTTTAATATTTGTTTTTTGGTTTTTTTTAAATTATGTAAATAAATAGATCATTAGATATGTACATTTGAAACGTATGCTATCTATAACAGCCGATGATAATGTTCTCACAGTTTTATAAACTGACAGAAAAAATACATTATTACCAGTTTTTTTTTTATTTGCATATCATTTTTATTGTCATACCTGCGCTAAGTGTTATATATGTCGGACATAATTGAAGAAACAGCTGTGTATTTTCAGCTAGTTTTCCAGTTTCAGATGGACTGGCTGATAAAATGTTTTTCAGCCTTTTCCGATTTTCACATTGGCAAATCAACGTTTCTTCTCTTGCTTTCTGCGGTGTGATTTACATGTTCACAAATGTTCTTTCTAATAATATAACGAAAGGATATTCACCTTTACTCGATCATTCATTTTCCATATAAGATTATCAAGATTCTTCATATCTAAGATTTTTCTTTCTATGTATTCCTCTTTCACGTCTGTAGCCGAACTATCAATTTCATTTTGACTCTCATTATCAAACGATTCTTCGGTGAGGCGCGATTCTAGGGATCTCGTATCCAATTCGGATAATTGCTTCAATGATCTTAGTCTCTTCAAAGCGACCATCGTGTTGTCTATGTCTGCACTTTCGTACATTGTTTCCCGTTCTAATCATACACAAAATAGTAATACACAGGATGTCTCAGGTGTGTTATTTGTTTGAGATATCCTGTATACGTGGAAATGTGTATGCAACGAAAATCAGTCGAATAAGAATACGCGGCGTATCTTAATTCCTGCGGAAATGCTGAAATGTGCAGAAGCGAGATCGAATCGAACATTCAAAGGGCTATTTCTCGACTAACGATTTACACAAGTACACGAGAGAAATATTTCACACGACGAGAAAAGTCGTGGCTCTCGAACAAATGTACTCTCTTATAAGAATCTATTAGGTCGTTCCTTAAATTCACGTTGTCATTTCAATATATACATCTGTTGACTTTTTCATGTTGAATAAAGCGACAAAGCATTTGAGACTGCGCGATATTCAAAATGTTTTATACATTACAATAACAATACTAGACCCATAACTTACAAATCGTTTGATCAAAGTTATTGAAATTTAATTGCTAAATTTTAGTGGACCCATCGTACTTTACAGATATTTTACTGACTGATTATCGTGTGTTCTTTTCTCAACGTATAGAATTTGTTCCTAAATAAACAATCTAAATGCGTGGATGTTGTAAGAAATAGCATCCAAGAATATACAGTGAAAAAATGGATTATAAAAAAACTATTTTATTATATACACTAAATTAAAAATTATTTCCATCAGACTATAATAAAAAATTATATTCTCATAAAATGATCTGATATAATTTTTAATTTAGTGTATACTAAGAACAGTGTTGATAACTGAAAGCAACATTATAGTACAGAAATCGACACGAATTTATGAAATGACCTAATAATAACGACGATAAATTATTTTAGTGTCTGTCAGCATTTATCTGCCTCTTCTTAGGCATTATTACTAGAAGTAGGTAATACAAAGGTACCTCTTTTCGTTTTCCACGAAATTTTCGCGTCATCTATTTCATCCCAATCGGTAGGGAAATCAGATGAATTTGTATTTTTCATGACCACAGTAGGTGATTCCCCTACAGGATGATGAAGTATTTGTGGTGATTCCGTTACTGGTGGGCTGGATGTTTTGACAGGCGTTGATGTGTTTTTAGGTACTTTAGGTGTATGCCCTTCCGTGTTGTTGCTCTTGGGAACACTGGTAGATGAGACCTTCACTTTGGTTTCGGTAGAATGAGTGTCAGTTGACGAAATATGCGATGACTGGTTGCTGTTTACTTTGCGACGCAATGTTGATTGTGTTGTGCATTCTTCCTCATCACTGCTACCCTCCGTATACAGTTCTTCTCCTGATATCCATAATTCTTCTTCTTCTTCCTAAAAGAAGATAGGCTGTACAATGGGCAAGCATGTTATTATTAATATTGAGGTAACTAGATCTTTTTTTTAATAATTATTAGGATATTAAACATGCATCTATTAGAACTAATAAAATCCACTAATTTATTCAAATATATGCAACAATAAAAATCACGCAAATTCTAAAAAGATGTATTCTCAGAATTTTTATGAAAAAATTCTAAATTAGCAAAATTGACTATTTCGTAGATTTCGAGCTTAAAATGAATTTCCGAAGCATTACGCAATATCCACAAATAGAGGAAAGCGGAAGTCCTACCTCTTTTTTTATCCTGGCAAGTTGCGATTGCACCGCGGCTTTCATCGCCTGCTCTTGCGATGTCATGTTGCTCATTTTATTGGCCACCTTAGCCCTAAATAGAACACAAAGGATACATGAATAAATAATTTCATAGTTCACGATACGCGAATATTGTGTAAAGAACACCAAGTGTATTTAATATCGCAGGACCGTTGACGTGTGAAAAGTCATTTCAAGGGACCAATCGGACCGTGTAATCGCGGGCTCTATCCTGTTGTAAACGTTAGTTAGGCGATATGATATATCCGCAATTTTTTGAAAGAGATGAAAATCAACGGGAATTGATTGCGACTGCGTTCACGAGATTTAGCTAACGTCTTTTTTTTCTTTCTTGCAATTCAATCGATCCGAAACACTGTACAGTGAGTCCTTGAACTAGGAAAATCTAGAGCAAGGGTGATACGGGTCAGGGTCATGCGTCACGATAACGATGTATGGTGTTCAAATTCAGGGTTACCGGAGTTCACTGTAACTCCAAATGTTCAACAGTGGAACATTGTTATGGATATGTTACAATGAACCATGCAGATTTTATGCATTCATGACATACTCGAATATGTCAGACACAATAAAAACAAACCCTGATTAAGGTTCAATCAATTTTATTTGTAAACACATAAAGCTCCAAGTAGAAAATACAAACTTCGAATCTATTTCAGTTATAATAAAAAATGTTACGAGTGATTCATATCTGCACAAAGATCCACTGTCTAGTTACTGACATTATACTTCAAAGATATTTTAGTCGACGCATGTGTACGCGATGTATTTGTATAATGGAATATCTTTTTTACTGTCAACTATTAAGGGGTTGTTTCGTTACAACATCGAATATCATGTTTCATGTAATACATGAAATGTATTAAATTCAGCGTCAACGGATACAAGTTCAAATTGTTTATACATATAGTCACCTTTTCATAATATCTGTTTGAATAAGCTTTATTATTTACAATGAAATGTCAAGAGTAAGTATATGATGGTGAACAGCGAGCGATACTTAATGCCTTGTTTACCTTGCTCTCGTGGACCAAACACCGTCGGGAAACACGAATTTATTGTGGCAACTTTGATTTTTAATAATATGACAGTTTATTTTCAATAATGACAGGTGTTATCAGGCAATGTCTCTGTAAATCTGACTTAATGTTTTATTGATTCAAACTTGTTTCACGACATGTTTGAATAACACTGTTGCGGTGTGTATTTCACGTGACGTTTTATCGAGTTTAATTTACAAATGGATTAACAAAAATAAAGAATCTTGACGTTTCTTTCTTGTTGCACAGTTTAGCAAGTAGTCGAAAGCTGCACGAGATACTCCATACTGGCTTTATAATCGCGATAGCAGCGGCGCCTATGGCCAGATACAGCTCGATATATAAATAAATGTATTAGCTCGCTTGCGCGGTGAACCATTTGTGTTTTCCCACTGTCACTCTGATCTCATTTTTTCTAAAATATTTACAATTGAGTGGAAAGGAAAGGAGAAAGGCGGGACATGCTTGCCGCTACGAAGAATAATTATGAGATATAAAAGACTAACATAAAATATCAAAAATACTGTATTGCATTTATTAATTCCTTATCATACAAATATCACATAATATTTAAATCTCTGCGAAGTCATATGGAATTAAGTTGTGGGTTTGACACAAGCGGGATCCATGTATGTAATATTATCTGGGAAATGATCCATGATTATAAATCGCTTCTCACTAGGTTCGGCTAAGGTATCCAAATATCCAAACCAATATATTACAAGTCCTGGACCAAACCTGTTCCAATAACTTAAAAATTGTGTTTTTATGTATTTGTGGTGGATTTCTTTATTGCCGAACCTTGCCTTGCATTCAATCCAATTAATTACAAAACCGTTTACAGCAATTGGTACTTCAAGTTTAAAATCTGGTGTTTTGTCGTACCCTCTTGTTCTCAAGTGTTCTTCATTACGAAATGCAAGATTTCTCTCTGTTAAATAGTTCTGCAGTTTTAACTCATATTCCTGACCAACTGACCTAAAAGTATAATGTACAAGAACACATATTAAAAATGTAAAATAACCTACTACAGTTATTAATGAACAATAAGATACTTACAGTCCAATAGCATCTGCTATGGGTCCATACAAATTATCATATAATACACACTGCAAGAAAAGTATACATGTTCAGCCATTTGAAAATAAATTAATTTATTAATTGAATATTTTGTAAAGTCAACATATAATTACCAAATAAACTTCATATGAGAGATCTTTGTCCTGGATCAGTGTGGTGTCTTTAAATAATTTACTAATTTCATCTCTAGAAACTAAAAACTTTTTTCATAACAAAGAAACAATTCAGTCTTTATCAGATTTATTAAATTGTATAAAAATTACCATTGGGATCATGTTTTTCACAATGTTTTTCCAGAACATTCCTAGCTAATAATGCAGGGGGTGCGCCAATATCCTTGGCCAGTTTTAATAAAATGCCAACAGGTTTACCATTTTGTACAGCTTCCATGTAGCTGTTGTTTAAGTAGAATAACAATCATTATATACATTTTAGTACAAAAGAATATGATATACTGAATGCTTACGTATCGTAATAGTTCCTATTGTTACCAAACAATTTGCTATGATTGATTTTCATCTTATGTTGAATATCTAAGGATAATATACTATACAGTGTATTTGCTGGAACACTAAATAAATAAAATGTGTATATGTATTCAAGCACAATAAATAATCATAGAGATCACAATAAATAAAAATAATCTTACTCTTTGTATTTTTGTTTTAATACATCACGACAATCCTTTGATAAACCCCGAAAATTTCGTATTGTAGACACAATATCATTGTACACATCAAGCTTCATGTTTGATTATTGTTTTTCAAACTTTCAACAGAAAACTTTGTGAAGATATGTCAACTTTTTGTCATTGTAAATATTTAGACATGACAATATTTCAAATAAATATCAACAATTAACACATGCTGACAGATAATTGTACTCTTCTTGCCAAGCAATTGAAGTCACTTATTAATTAAATTTAAGCGAAATCAAAATTTGTCTCACAAAAATCACATCTCTTCAATGATCTTTCATTCTTATGAAAATATATAAATATACCTAATGTTTAACTACGTGTAATATATATTTTAGGGAGTGATTGTACAAGTCATGGTAAAATAAAAATCGAAAGTAACTTATGATTTCAACTTTGCTTTCAAGTTATTGACGATTAAAAATCTCCCAAAACTATGGTGTAGATTTAAGATCTCTATAATCAAAATACAGCGGTACCATCTACTCACAGAAAGCTGCTATTAATTAATCAGTTGAAAATTGTTATCAACAGATGAGTTACCGACTGTGTAAAAAACCAAATGTTTTATTCTTCAGGTCTTATTCAAAGGTTAATAGGAAAACTACATCAAGTAAAATGATCGAAGTTGACCAACTAGTAAATATGGTAAATAAGTATTCAAACGTATCCGTTTTATAATGTTGTCATGTTTCAAACTTCCAACGCACGAGCTATTTAGATACTTATGTCGGTACCTCGTCTGTGGTAGAACATAAAAAACGACCACTTTTTCTACATGATCGGTATTGCAGATTATCAGATATGAAGTTACCGTCAAGAGATAAGACAGACTAGATATCTTACGGGATTTCGTGTCCAATGCTGTCAAAAATAATATTATGGTAAGCAAATAAAAGAGAACGTTATTTATTTATTTATTTGTCTTTATTTATACTCTGTTGGTACGATTGTAAGTAACACGGAAATGATAATGAAGTCACATGACCTCCATGTGACCAAAATTTACATTGGATGTCATCTAATATATTTATCGATAAATTTGTTGCCCCGAATTGTTTAACAGTTGTAACAAATGCTTCTTATGGAATGTTATTGCATAGTTTATGGGCTGTTTTCTCATGTAAATTGTTATAAAGTATAAGTAATAGAAATGGAGGAGATTAGAAAAGAAATTTTTTATATCCAAACTTCATTTTCTTTCATCGGAAAGATAATTGAAGGATGGGCAGCATTGTTTCTTAAATATTTAGCAATACTTTTTATTTCTTTTTTCATTTCCAAGCTACACACTAACAACATTACATAGACAACAATACGATTTTCAAATCCTCGAAGCTTCTTATTAACATACACACTCAGACGATAATTTAATCGTGGATATATTGTCAATAATCACAGATACTTTTATTCTCTGCACGTGGTAGGCCTGTGCCGATAGTTCGCAAGAGAACAAAAAATACGTCGCACTCTCAACAATTTATGTACAAAAAACAGGTATCGGGGCGGGGCGGGGGGTGGTTAGGTACTGATGAAGATAAAAATGTTTTTCGGAAATGTGCAATTGAAAAGAGCGGAAGACCGGTGGATACACGTTGTCGGTGGAATCCTTTAGATCCCGATTTCCTTCCTCCTTGTGCAAATAAAATAAAAATGAAAAAAGGTGATTCTCGTCGAAGAACGAGGCGGAAATCGAATCAAGGTGAATGTTTGTGCTGTAAATTATGCGTCGATCGACGAAATACTTAGGACTATGCCGATACTTTGGCGCAAAAGGTTGCTGATACAGCAAAGTTACAAACGTGTAAAATAATCTGCGCTCGCGTTTGTCGACTCTGGGAGCGTTCAGAAATCTTAATAATTGGAGAAACCAACGTCAACGCTATTATTTCTCTTAGACATCCTTCAAATTTCAAATCAGAGATATGTCTTTCGTAAAGTGGATTAGAAACAACGGAACTCGCGTTTATCTAATGTGTCAGGTCGCATCGCTGTTGAATCGTGGGAAGTGATATAGATTATTTTACAGTACAATTCCAGCAGAAACGGGCATCACAGTATTCTCGTATTACATCGAAGTATGGTAACTATCATCATCGTAACTCTTCGAATTGTACTTCTCTCTCTATTCATCCGACTATCAATCTCAATACTTTTACAGAAATATATTATATCTATGTGTATATATTATATCGTACAACACTCGATCCTCTGAAAATATATACATATATCTATACACGCTACTATTAACATGTAAACATCTCAACTGTTCAACATCGTCGATTACGGGAGCATTCGTTTCGCATCGTAACAATTAATTGACTAACATTCCCAGAATTCCTCTCACCGCCTCTCTCAACTGTTCCAGCAATCAGAATCAATCTTTCATCTCAAACTTTGCTCAGCAAACTCTATCAAACTATGGAATGCAACGACGACACGACACTCTAAAAATAACTTTTCAATATAATCCTAACGAATGCCGCGCCGTCGGAATAATTTACGTTAAAATTTCAAGTTGATAACAATTAGAAGAATACGTCGATTAATTGTTAACACGGTAGAACCTCGCTTATCCGAACTAACTGAGACTAAAGTGGTTCGTGTTATCAAATGGTTCGGGTAATCGAACAGTACAGTGGAACCTTGGTTATCCGCGGTAATCGAGACCAAATTGATTCATACGATCAAGCACATGGTTCAGATAGTCGAATGGTAAGCCGAACGAAAAACGCTGAGTCAGTGGTTCGGATAATCGAGGTTCTATTGAATATTCACGCGAGACATAGAAACGTCGTTCTTATTGTCGACACGATCGTGCTCGTTGGCAAGGGAGTAATGCAAATTTAAATCTTGGTCAGTGGAACTACGATATTATTTATCAGTGATCTAGAAAGCGGAATTATCGAAAAATCGAATTAATCCCCCTCGCAAATTGGTCGTCGAGCGGCACGATAATCGAATGCCCGCAGCCTCGGTAGATGAATTTTATTAATCCGGTCGGATCAACCGGCAAATTAAATTCCTGCGGTGTTGGGGGATGGAAGCGTTCGCATCATTCGACCCGTTTCTGGGTCATCGAGTTATCGAAAATTGCTCCGGCCTAAGAAAAACGTGGTCCATTAAAATTCCGAGCGGAGAACGTTAAACCTTTGCTCACTTGAGTATTTGTCAAACTTCTGAAAGCTCTTTCCTTAAGAAACTGAATGATACATCGAGATCTTGAATCTCCGAAGTACTATGTAAAAATAAAATATTAACATATAAAATTTCTCTTTCAACGCGAATAGATTGCAGATTTTCATGCGAGGTATGCATCCTTCGTTAATGATTTTAATTGATAGCTTATAGTTCTCAACTTTTCATAGTAATGTCGCGTACAGTTGAATTTCATACCTCGCACTTAAATGTGTCTCTTGCACCTGCGTTTATTATAAACGCATCAAAATCTGTACTTTATTACAGGAGTTGCTCTAACGGATACTATTCATGAATTCAGTGCAATGTGTTTGCAGCGAACCTGGAACTCTCGTCTGAATGGTCAGATTCGAAGACGCACGCCCTACTCACACGAATTTTCGGTTTTGGCATACGATTCGTTGAGGCGCTCACGCACACTAATCGGGTCGCGCGACAAAGGGCGGGGAGAGCCGTTTCCGGACTTGCAATTGGATTTCTCGAAGCGACTGTTTCTGCCCCTGTGACGTCACGAGTGCCAGGTTTGTCGCAACAGACGGTACTTATCTGTACGTCGCTGATTCCAAAGAAATGTTAAACTCGTTTTTCGTGGTTACGTTCTTCCATCACGCAGTAGATCACCGAGATCATTTAGTTCTTCGATTTATTGTACTTCACAGATACTCCATCGTTTGTTGCTCGTCTTTTAAATTGCTATCTTACCTCCTACGTATCCGGCTAAATTAAATACACCGTGGAAAGTATGATTTTCACGTTCGTTTCGAACCCTATTCCGTAAACATTCGAATTCTTCGTGATATTTAGGGTAACATTTGTACGTCCGACGATTCTCGTCGCGATTAAACAGGAATGGCGAAGCACCATCTTTTTTCCAACAGCCTAGGCCTCTATAAGCTTCGGACATCCGAATCTTCCGTCTACCCTGCTTATAAATATCCGATTACAGGCAAACTGCGAATATTTATGCATTCATGGGAAATTTCAAGGTGTAAGGTTGCACGAAATGAGCACTATAAAGAGAGATATATAAAATACCTAAAGTGCAGTGTTTTTTTTACGCTTTTAAATATTTTAATGTTTTATAGAAGAATAAATAAATATTTGAATATTTCGTAGAAAAAAGAATATTTTCTATCGTGATCTGTATCTGTATCATAATGTGCATATAGCGTTCCGTTTCTCTAATTATATTTCTTGAAACCTTGAATTTCTATAAATGCTCGCAGTCTAATTATTATAAGCATCGGTTCACGGCAGCCTTGGCGCGAAGGTTTCTAATCTAAGTTCATCTTCGTACGATGAGTCGATGCACAGCATCTCGAAATCGTTTCAACAGGGCTTAAGGGCTAAGAATATTATTATCATCAATATCACCGTTTCTTTTCCTTTCATTAGCTACACGAAAGACTACCTGAGCACGTTCCAAGTCTCTGATCCTATGCTAGCTTGTACTCGAAATGGTACGTTATCGACAATGGATTCCTTGTGAAATACTCAATAGAATCTCAGATCTGGAACGATGACCCACATTCACACTGCTTCCTCCTGTATTATCGTTATTATTATTCTGAATTTACTGATTCATTATCAATCAGATCATTCTTTGAGTAATATTGTTTTTAAGGTTCATCTTGAATCAGGCAAGGAACTTATACTTTAGCCGTATTTAATTATTGTCCTTTGTTATTACACTTTATCTCTTGATTAATCTTGGCTTGAATACTCTAAAAATGATCGATTGGTTGATTGTATAAAATAAAAGGGAAAAGACATTGCTCGTGGAATGATCTGGCATATATTTGGACCATTCTGTTATTTCTCTCTTTTATGACAAAACATGGTCTGAGATATGTTTTGCTATCTTAAATAATTCCGTGTACGTCGACATAATTTTAGTTGATCACTCATTCGAGATTTCTTTAATTTCCTAGTAAAAATTAGGTAACACAGGAGAATCAGAATAATATTAACAATAACCTCGACAGTGTCTAAAAGGGTCCTATCTATTCTTTTCCACAAAATAATTTTATCTCAACATTTAAACATCTAGAATCTCAGCAACAATTCGTATTCTCTACCTCAAGATTCATTCAAACACGAAACGCTCGATCCGATGAATCGAGGAGAGGACTGGCAACTTTTCGATCTCTTTTTTCCTTTCGATTTTTCGTGCTGTTTAGCATTTAGCATTCTGCCTCCGAAGATCGTTCGGTATGATGGTCGTCAGGAACGATCCGACGGCTAAAGTGACGCAAAGAGCAATGTTCGCCCAGAAGTCGCCCCATAAATTAAAGAACTGATCGTAAAGGATCGTGAAGACAATACCAAACACTTGGCAGACCGCGTTCAGCAGGCCGGCCGACGTTCCTTCCGGTTCCGGGTACGTTAATTCTGCTGCGAACTCGAAGCCCACTGGCAGGTATCCGGTCATAAAGAATCTACGAAGATATCAGTAATTAAATTCTTCGTGGAGGAAGGAGGAAACGATTTAAACTTTTATATCGATTTTTGGAAATATCCTGGAAGGCGCGTATTCTAGGATTTAGCGGGGGATGAAGAGTTAAGGGTTTCCAAGATGATAAGAAAATTAATACTTCGGTAACTAAATTTTTCGTGGCAGAAGAAGGAAACGATTTGAATTTTTAATTTTTAGGAATACTCTAAAGTGTGAGTATCCTAAGATTTTTTTATCGGAGGATGAAGAATCAAGAGTTTCAAAGTTGATAAAAAAATGAATAAATTTTAAACGAAGACTTGTTTTAGTTTCTAATTGATTGTTAAAGAGACTTACCCCAATATACCGGCTGTTATATAGATTACATAGATTTGACTGGTGTTGAGGGTGAACGTGAAGATGATCATGCCGAGGAACGAGAGCAGGTAAACTCCGAGCGTCGTTTCTCTGTGGAAATGTTTGGAAAAATATTAGTAAAAGAATTGAAGTTGATAATGAAGTAAATTTTTCTGAACTATCATAGTATCATAGAATTGTTACTGACCATGATTACATTTTCTTATTCGCAAAAACTATCAAAATGTGTCTCGAATTGTCAAAGATATCATTTAAAAATGATTAAAGATTTATTTACTTAAATCTGTGCGTTTTGTCGAGAACAATGCCGCAGACAACGGATCCCAGCATCCCAGCGCAAACAATGGTCAAACCTATTCTCCCCGCGTGTATCTCATGATGCTGCAACAAATAGAATTCAAATAGAAATATTGACTCAACTAAAATAATAACGTAAAGAATCGACCATTATCAATACAAAAACTCAAGAAATTATTATTTCATCATCGACTATGGTGGAGTTATTATCTGTTCAACATTATCCATCATCGATTCTATACAGCTGACAATTGCGAATATACATATGTTATCATTCGTGAATTAAGAAGAAAGAAAAAAAAAGAAAGGAACAAGGAAAACGTTCGAAGATTAACGCACGATAATTTCGATTTTGTTATCCTGGACCGGTTAAAGTTTAATTAACGACCTCAATTTTAATGATCATCAGTGGATTGCTCACCGGGAAATATTTAAGAACGATAGGATTCAGGTGCGTGCTGATAGCATAGAAAATGCCGACATTGATGCCGTAACTCAGCAGGAGCAACAAGTAACCGACGTTCGTGACCAGTTTTTTCACTGACTGGAAGAAATTCTCCGTGGTTTCCGTTTCCCTCTGCACGGCTTGGGCCGGGCTCGGTGGTAAAGGTGGCTCAGATTTGAAGACTGCAATAAAAGTGGATTAATTACACAGCTCGTTGCGATTTCAAACTGGCGCTACTAACTGGATGAAAACGACTAATTTCTAATTTCTTCTTTCACCGTTATTGTTAACACTAGAACTACCAAACAGTCAAACTGTCTTTTCGAAATTTCTCTGTAGAAACTAAATGGTGCAACTATCGAGACATCGATTGATTTGCACTGTAGCTTATGTATTACTAAATCAATTTCTCTAGTAATCTCTCAGAGAAGCATTCGTTATCTTTTCAATAACTGGAAAAAAATCATGAATGGGTCATTTTGACCCATCCGATAGTTCTAGTGTTAAGATAAAGCTGCCTCACCGAGACGTTTTAAAGAAGTCGATTCAATGATATAAGTCAAGTAAGCTGAAATATTATACAGGTGAATCGAGATCTGATAAATGTTATATGTAATTTTTCTACGAAAATCGAGAAAACTCAATAAACTCTGAGCATTTCGAATGTTCGTGTAATCAGAAAATAGCAACGAAAGTGTAGTTTATGGTTTTTACTGCATTAACGATTTGCGCGTTCGACTTATGTGTTAAATGAATTTTCTTAGAAATTTCATGTTTTTCTTGCAAAGTTTACATAGAAATGCATTTATCGAGTGATCTATTCGAGTAAATAAATTCGTTTGAAGACTGCTTCACGTACAGATTACTATGACGACTAGAATCACTGAGGTGAACGTAGCCACGATGTAAAACATGACTTGCAGGCCCCGGCCCATGACTGCGGGGTCTTCGCTGCTTGGGACCAGCATTGGTGGGAATAGGAAACCGATGGCAATGCCCAGCTGCAAATAAAAGAAAATTGTTCGCGCGTTAATTGGAAATAAAGACATTCTAATTCTGAATTCTACAGGTGAAAGAGAGAGTTGTTTGCGAACTGTTCGCGTAGTAAGTTGCAACAACTTTCAATGCAATGATTTTGTTCCGTTGTTATAACGATCATTAATATATCTAGATCTTATTTACATTCATATTTTATCGCAGAAAAAATAAGTTACAAATTATAACTTTCAATGTAGCAATCTTGCTATCTTAGCACGACAATCATTACAAACTTCAGAAGTGATTTATGTAGATTTATGTAGACAGTTCATTACACTTTCTGAAAATAAATCAGAGTAAATTAGCAAACTAGTGGATTCGCAAATAATTTGTAAATTATGATTCTTGTACGTTCAGTTGATGCAAGCAGAATGATTCCGAAGTGAAATTACAGAGGAGCGGAATGTTGCCGCGCGGGGTTGCAGCGCTTGTTTCAAGGAAGTAAGAGATCATTATTCTTTTCAGCTCATCACGAGTGATTTCAACGAGAGTTCCGCTCTCGAAAGCTCAGCGGAGTTCTCTGACACGTTGAAGGTATTTGTCGTCGACAAGGTCAACAATCCGTCAATAAGTTCGTTTCGAGTGACGTGTTGCGTGAAGTATCATAGACGGCGACTGACAGGAATTTAGATAGGACTCGCGCGGATCTAACGCTGTGACTTTGAAATTTCAATGAGAACTTCAAAACTGAAGTTTACAGTCAGCCTAGAATCAAAGTGAAAATCTAAAATCCAAGTTTGCTCAAAAATTGATTTTCAGATTTCGTTCATCTTAATATATGAATTACTTGAAAAAATACAATTTATAAAATATATTTTTCTGTTATTCAATCACGAAGAAGGCAATCGAAAGATTTCAATCAATTATTCTTTTCCATTTCAAATGAACGGAAATCAATGAAAATATATTCAACACTTTAACCAACACGAGGATCACCAATGATCCCCGACCAAATCAAATCACTATTATTCATCCACTTAAATGATAATCGTTCGCTAATTATACTTATCATACTATGAACAATCCAAAATGGTGACATTCAAGATAAATCTGCAAGGAACAATAATGCAATTGCAATTACACAACTTGACATTAAATTCGTTGCATTATGCATATTATGCTCCGCACAATCTCTAGCATCTTAAACAATTCACACGAAAATCGTCCAACATTCAACATATTAAACGACTTCTAGTCCATAGATTGTGGATTATTATACACTTTGAGAAAATTTCAACGTTCAAAACTACACAGAATCCACACGACAATGAAGAATATATAAAATATCCAACGAACAGAGATTTTTATAATGTTCCTCAGGAAAAACCATTCTTCGTTGTAATTTTGTTTTTGTAATTATCTTTTACAAAATTTGTATTTACATAGAGATTCGCAGTCCGCTAAGGTAAGGTACTGTCTCGCAGTGTTCACTTGTCTAATGAGGAAGCAGAAAATGAAACGATATCAAGGGGGTTCCTGGGACGGATCACACGGGCCGACAGGGTGCGCGGTAATGGCGGCCACTGAAATATGGCGGTTTAATTCGCTGGATGGGGCCCGACCCCCTGCCGTCGTCGCGAAATTAAACGTGGGTGCACCGTTCAGCTCGGTTTCCCACCTAATCACCTAACAATTTAACTCGCAATCGACCCTGTCAGTCGAACTAGAATTTTAGCCGGCAGGTAGTATGTGTACTCGAGTCCTATTTACATACGTTTATGAACGCGTTTGAATTCATTTGACGAGTCCGGCGATATTGTTTCGCCCGGTGCAATTCGAAACACGAGTGAAAATGAAACGAGAGAAAAGTATAAGCCGCCGAAATAACAATGACGAATCATTCCGCTGGTAATCCATGTGCTCGCAGCATGGGACCCGGGAGTTGTGACCCTGAGACCGCCAATTGAAGTCTCTCTGAGCCGATTTAATGAGACCAGCAATAAATGAAACAAGTGGTCTCAAAGAAATTGCCGTGGTTGGCACTGTCTCCTGTTATTGTTGCGATCGCACCGTTATCTCTTATTAGAGAAATGAATTTCCAGCGCGACTGATAAGTTGATCCGTGAGCCACAGTGAAAATTAGTGATAATTGCTTTCCGTTGAATTTTTAAACTTGAAGGTCCGGTAATTTTAATGTTTTATTAGATCGATTCGATTATGTCATTACCGACATTAATTATTACTCAATTCAGACGAGTTTCTTAATATTCAACAATCAAAGGATAAGATTCCAAGTGATGAAACGGTGGATTAAGATTATAGATATATAGAATTAGAAAAATAATTTATACTATAATTTCAAGTATTCCTTCCAATCGGTACACAAGTTTTTCTCGTTTTTTATTTACGATTAGGTTCAACGGTTTCCTCGTTTATCTATTTACTAATTATCAGTTCCATGAATATGCATGGTAGCTCAAGATTAAAGTGTTCAACTGAAAACAGGATCACCGGTGGGCGGCGATTGGGCGGACTCGTTGAAAAAGTATCGGAAGTAACCGTGACTGACCTGATTTCCAAAAACGCCGATGCTGCACGCGCTGCTGACCTGATCCGGGCCGAACCAAACCGCGGCCAGACGAGCTGGGACCGACAATATGAAGGTTTGGCTGACGGCAACCACCGTCTGCCCGATGAAAGTCAGCCAGAACAGGTCTGGGCTCACGCTGAACACTTTGATCCATGCTCCTAACGCGTTCATGACCGCGCCGAGCAAGGCTGCGAACCTCAACCCCTGAAAGAAAAGTATTTTTGTTTAACTCATTCGATACCATCGCCGTTTATAGTCAATATCCGCATAAGCATTCATTTATTTATATTATTGCATCGCACAGTAGAGGGAAATATCCGTTTGTTACTTAGTAATGTTTCAAGTTTCAAGTTTAAAGGTTCAAAGTTTCAAAGTTTCAAAGTTATAAAGTCTCAAAGTCTCAAAGTCTCAAAGTCTCGAAGCCTCGAAGTCTCAAAGTGTCAAAGTTTCAAAGTTACAAAATTTCAAAGTTTCAAAGTTTCAAAATTTCAAAGCCTCTATGTCTCAAAGTTTCAAAGTTTCAAAGAGCAGGAGCAGCTCGGGGGAGTACAATATCAAGTAATTTCTTGCAAATTTAAACCGATTTAAATAGTTACACGGAAAGCTTATCTGCAGAGAAGCACGTAGTGGGAAAGGGTTAAAACGTTCATTGCCATGGAAAACTTGAGCGCTGTATTAATTATTGATAAAAGAAACAATTATTAATTACTTTAGTATCGCAATGCCTACGGTACACTACTATCCAGTTATTCACGCTATTAGTATATCTAACAAATAAAATATAGAATCATAAACCCATTGGTAAAGAAGAATTTTATAAATTATTACAAAATCATTTTACAAACTTTAGACTATCCGATGAAAGTTACTTCACCGAGAAAAGAAATAAACTTTATTTAACAAAACTTGAAGTTTAACACGGAAGCATGAGATACGTTGAAAGAAGAAAAGAGGAAGAACTAATTAATCGTAACAGAAGAAGAGTGACTGAAACTGTCACGTATTGAAGTACCTGTGTACTACTTCGACACAGCTTAATGGAATTACCTCCTCGAGTCCGCAGTCCACAAAACTAAATTCATTAATCTCTCGAACAAATTCCCTTGTCAATCGCAGCACTGAGGTGTTCGTTTGTTGAACTCCTCGCGAGCGTTAATCGAATTAATTATCAAGCGATTAACAAAACCGGCGACACAAGCGTCGAAGGAAAACAGACGGAATAAAGTTCAATTTTCGATATCTGGAATTGAAATTCGAACTTGATCGGCTGACGGAGCGACGAGGAACGATCTGTTTGTCGGTTGATACGATTTTATTGCTTTTTTCCCTGGGATCCGTTATCAAACACGGCCTTCCACAGCCAGAGATGCAACTTTTGACGTGCACGTCTCGTCAGATATCGCTCGTCCCCATCATGAGATCCGATTAGATCACTCGGATCCGCTTTAATTAATTAGCGATGTTTACCGTGACGTTTAATGGTCTGTCAACACGTAAATAAGGTGTAAACAATTTCACAAGTTGCAGTTACGCTCGAGTTACAGAAAACTTCGATAAGGGAAGAACTCTTGATCTGGTAGCGTCGCGATGTTCATAGTTCATGAGAACAAAGCGTGTTTCAGCTGTGGACGAACTATTGGAAATCAAATAATTTATAACCTCAAGCTTCGGAAAGTTTATTATTCATTTGAAAAGTTGTGAAATTTTTAATTTTCAGTGCGTTGTCGATAACGCGTTATACGATATTGGTTATCGCTGGTTTGTGTCACGATAAACGCATGGACATTCTGTGTCGTGCGTAATGTTTTATTCATGAACGTTTATTGATGACCTATCGATAGGTCAATTTTGATCAATATTTAAATGTTCAGTTGCTTCCATGGATAGATAATCATTGATATAATTAGAATAACAAATATTGACTGTACTTGGATAATTCTTGGTATAATCTCAACGAAAAACTAATCACTGTAGTTAGATAATTATTGACGTGATTCGAGAAACAGTATTCGATGTAATTATTGATATCTGGAAATGGTATTCAAGCAAATTTGAATTTTCTCGTACTTACGAATTTGTCAAGCAGATAGCTCGCCGGAAATATGAATGGAATGTAGGTTATCATGAATATCATGCTGGTCATGTCCACCAGAAAGCTGGACACTTTGTAATAATCCGTCACGATGTTCACGATGATGCTGTACTGGATCCATTGCATCGCGTTGCTGGCGCTGTACACCACGAAGATCATCAGGATCAGCCATCGTCTTTTGTATACCTTTGTCTCGACCACCTACGCAAACATCGAATCACACCTGTTACTCGATTTACGTTCACTCGATCTAGAAACTATTCATTCAAGATTGCACACTGAATTCTGACAACAGAATCAGATAACTCTATAACTCTCCTGGTACTAACTTTTAACAAGCAAAATATTGACATTTACATTCATTTTAAATGATTGAATCAACAAATTTGTATTATCATTCTTTAAACTTCCATACTATTTTTCGCTTCAAAATGTAACATAAAATTGCGAAACCACGCAATGAATCACTTTCTATATCAAATCACATTCGTTCCACAAATATGCTCTATATAACGGAATCCAGTTGTAAACCATTCCAATGACAACTCAACTTATACAATTTTTAAATAAAACAATGTAAACCCAACTTCGACGTCGAACTTCACTCTCCAAGAACACAAAATTCCTTAAAACAATTATTTGCCTTTGAATTCAATATCCTTAAAGGAACTTTCAATTTGTATCTAAAGTTTCCTCTCAAATTCCCTTGAATGAAAACAGACTTTAAGAAGCCTCGCGTTTTTAGACGAGAAGGACTGAACAACGGATTCTCCTAAATCTTCTCTCGGAAACGTGTCGCCTTAGTCACCTGGGTCGATTGCACGCCGCTCTCGATGGCCTTAGCGTAATCCGCGGAACTTTTTGCCATTTTTCCTTCCTGTCCTTGCTCCATGATCCGTTGGCGAAAAGAGGCGAATGATACGAAATGATGTCTCCAACGTCGTCGCGATTAACTCGGATCGATCCACGTAAATTCCGACGATTCTTCTTTAGCTTCGGCCGGCTTTCATCCAACTTTGATCAACTTCTCGATCTTCTGGCGACACTGGCCGCCTGAAAAGGGAGACGAACAGGAAAAGGAAAATTTCAGACGCAGTATCCTCTGTCGCAGGGTGATCCGAAGGAGAACTGGTCCCCGAGGTTTTCCCTCTCGGCCTTATTCTCGAGCGAAGTCGCGGCTTCGAGAATTCTTAATGATTTCGCGCTAGTTTAGAGTACCAATTAGCGGCGCGAAGGCTTCTCCATTTCTCTCTGTCTTGTTCAACTAGGATACAACGTCGCCGTACGTGGACAATAGGTCACAGTGAGAAAATGTTTGGAGCATCCTCGACCCTCGTTTATATTCCTACCTCGCGCGAACTTCGCGGTGAACGGATCGAAAAGTGTGCACCGATGAAGAAACATTTTTGGGGAATGTTTATTACATTGTTTCGTTGGGCAAGATGTAGACGATTGGTATATTGTATTGCGAGAAATTGATAAACGATTAGTATTCTGTTTTTTGGAAGCGGAGAATGTGCATTAATGTTTGAAACTTTGAGGAAGATGGGAAAAATCGTTAATATTTGTTTCGCGGAGGAAGAACAATGTTGGAGGTTTTATGTAAAGGTCTTTCTGAAGGACAATTAACGTTAATAATTTGATTTTTGTTGGGAGTTGATGAAAAACTGCGGATTAATAAGTGTGGAGACTCCTTGGTTTGTTTCCTTGGATATTTGCTCCTGGAGAATAAGAAGTTGCGATTGAGAAGATTGCTATAGTGTGATTAAAAAGTGGAATTACTTAAGGTAATACAGTTTCGAAATTTTAGGGATTCTTTTGATAAGGATGAATAATTAACTAGGTTTCATTTAACTTCTTGCTCTGTGATTTATTTTTCATCTATGGCCGATACAACTATATTCATTCTATGTGTACGTCTCCTCTAAAGTATATTAATAGATAACAAAAGAATAATATTTAATTCAAATTCACAAGAATTCAGTAATATTTATGTTTGTTAAATTTCGTTGAAAATTTTCACTACGAGTCTGACACGTTATTTTAAGGCAAAGAGTTAATATATTGTTGTAAATATTTATGTGTTCCTTCAAACTAAAGGTGTATTGTACGTATGGTGATGACGTGGAACTGATAGTGTCAATCATGCCACGGAAATCACGTCAACGCGCAATGGAATTATCTTTCCAAACAGATAAACGTACTCCTATTGACAAATTTACCGTGTTATATAACCTGAACTTTGGATAAGCAACAATCCCGTGAGAATTTATGGCTATTGTGATTATGATTACGATTACGAATATACTGTAATCCTTTGTTTTTGTTAAAATTTTCGGTATCTTTCTAATTGTAGCATAAAATCACAACAAATATGTATCATAGTACAGAACTGATACATGTTGTATCAAAGAATAAATTTATAGTCCGTAAATCATCTTTGTAACTTTTTAATAGAAATATTTACTTTCACAATCTGTTTCACAGTATTTAATGATCCTTACAGACGCCATTTTCGTTTGATTTCACTGAATATTAATTAGGCACGGTATCGCTACAAACGAGTCGGTGTTAATTGGACGGTAAATTTTTCTGCTCGGTCACCGTGCACTTCCGAGTAAAATGAAAATATCGTTCAGCGATAATTGATAAAAATGCGAGAACGCCGGGTGATAATCATGCGAAATAGTGAATCGGGAATTAGCGTAGGCGTTCAACAACGTTAAGAGTATAGTAATGCTAATCTCTACGACAAGAAGAAAACAGGAAAATAGAATATTTTACTTCGCAAACGAGGAATTATTCTCAATTATTATGATTGAATAGTAAAATTAAAATTGAAATTAAAATTAGGACTTCGTTTCAGTTGAAGCAGAAAATATTTTAGTCGTGAAAAATATTGATCTAATACCGAACAGACACAGTCGAACTAAATATTTCAATTCTTAACATTTACTGTACTAATATTATGGTATAATATAAAATTGGCAACTAAACTGCGCATATCGATGCAAATCTAAGTTTTCTCAAATCAAAAGATTCAAGTGACAAAATTCACAGAATATTAATATTACAATATTAATATTACAATAAACAAATAATTAATTATCTTTTCTCAGACTTCGAAAGTAAGTGCACCAAATGGAAATTAATATTCTTCGGGGCAATGAGTTAATTAAACTCAAACTAAAGTAATGAACTCGCGAAAGGATTACAAAACTTCCAGCTTTATTGGTTCCGTGCATTCTACTTTCCAGTGAGTTAATAAAGTTCATAGTCTGCGGATGACATTTTCAGAAGTTTGTTCCATCACTTTACGCGCAAGGGTTCTCCTTTCCCTATTACTCGATTCAACACTGTTCCTCGATGGATCCCGCGATCGTATTGGCACAGAATGAGTCTTTCGAGCGAAGGATCCCCGGAGGTCGAGCCGCGTGGCCACCGTAGCGAATTTATAGGAAATCGATAGAAGGTCGATTCGAGTTTCTTCTAGAATTCGAGATTTTACGGTCAAGGATCATGGGGTTGGCGTTGCCCGTGTCTGACGTGAATGCAGAGACATCGACAGTTTCCGGTGACGAATCGCTTCGCGTGATTTCGTGGGATAGTTGACCTTTCACTAGATAAAATTGATATGAAACTAAAACTTTTAAAGTTAATCGAATAAAATTAAACACCATCAATTTTGCTTACGACAGTACCATTATTCTTTTATAATCGGTGTTTAATGGCTCGAGAACAAATGAAACTACAGTAACAACGGAATTCTTTTTCCTTGAACAGATAACCGATAAGGGCTTAAAGGTTAATATATTAAAATATTGAAAAAATGCAACATGAGAATTTAATATACTTTGAACGACAAGTTACCTGTAAAAAACCATTACGTAAACTGTATGCAAAATTATATTTGACACGTGTTATACGTTTGCAGATATTTATGTAAATATACGTTTTCGAAAACAATAGATGGAAAAAGGAATTGCGCACTTCAAGCCGAACAATGTCGCTTCGAGTAATGTAAGAATATTAACTGCTTCTATTAGAAATTTTAGTTAATCCGATTCAAAATATTTCATAGTCATACCTAATAGACGGGATTTTAACCCTTTGCACTCGAAAAATTTGTCACTAGAAATATTCAATTTATCTTTATGAGATATAGATGACATTTTTTTTAACTAACTTAACGAGGAATCTATTCACAAAATAAGGGGAACAATGGTATTTTATTTCCACATTTCACGTATCGACAGATTACTCAAGACTTAATGTTAAATATTACAATTTTGATGCACGAAATTTGACAATTTTTATGCACCAATCGGGTGGTGATTGAGAGGCACCTTTGCAGTGCAAAGGGTTAATTTATTTAGGGGGAGCGTATAAAATGGAGCTGCGAGTGCCAGCTACCGATAAAACAGGTTCCTAATCTTTCTAATTCGAAATGTTCGTACAGTAAAAGTAATGTGAACTTTCAACAATTTTCTTGTCATCATCTTGTCATCTTGTCACCAGTGACCCCCGACCAAATCGAATTACTATAGTTTACTCAGGTAAACGACGATTATATGAAAATATTTCTATATTATAAATAATGTTATCTAATATGGTGACATCCAGCTAGATGAATGTGGAATAATATTAATGCAATTCGATTAAATGATTTAATATTATGTTTTTTCCATTTTGTGTATTTCCCTTTATAAAATCGTGCGGCGTTCAACGTGTTAATCATGCTCGATATCTACTGGCAGAGCATGATCGCGGGAAACATTCCGAAACAAACCCGATGAATCAGGTGCACAGGAAACGGACGTTCGAGGCGGAACATTTCCAGGATTCACATGGTCCCCATCAGCCGCAAATTATTATCAATTATCAGCTAAGTTTATAGATCCCCGACGAGCACGCCAGGCCATCCGCGCGGAGTCATAAACTAGAATAAATTATGAGGATTGTTTCCCGAGCCGGCGAGTCTCCACGGAATTACTAAATTATCAGATTCATTCGCGAATTCTGTTCCTCCCCTTTGTAATCCTCGCACCGCGGTGCCTGGGTCTATTTTGGCCGAGGTCCGTAAAAACTTCGTCTATCTTCCCAGTTATATATAACTTACTTTTGTTCTTAATTGATTATATCAGATTTAACATGATCAATGCGTCTCGCAGAAATACGTTTGAGAAAATGTCTGTTTTAAA